TTTTGACGTGGAGTTGCCTCGTTTGCTCCTCCAAACACAAGTGCATTTTTTGGACAAAGCTTGCATATTCCTGAGCTTGCAATGGTGTTTACAGAATACATCTGAGAGAAAAATGTGCACTTTAAAATATGCATTTTGTGAAAATATGCATTCATATTTTAGTCAATGCAGGAAGGGAAGCAAGCATTCTGTTTAATAAAAACCCAAATGGGGCATAGGAAAGAGGCAGACTAGGCTTTAAGGGAAGAACTCTGCAAGCTAGATTCTCATTCCTGTGTGAGTCTCCTTGTTTGCAAGCAGAGCCCTCCCATGATCAGGATAGGAACCCTGGAATAAACAACAAAGATCTGCATTGTATCTGGTGCAGCCCTTGGAGTGAGAGCAACAGCCTGCTCTTTAGGCACTTTCACGGTGCTGACGAGGCAGGAGGTTACAGCTGTCCAACTTCTCATACAAATTCTCCATTCAAGTATCCCACATAAAAATATCCTCTAGTTCTCAAGCCAGCTTCCTGGTTTTGCTTTGTTTTGTAGGGGGGCTATCGCCACCACACAGAATCTTTGCATGGTTTCCCACATGACACTGAACTGACACCAGTACCCTGCCCTCATGTGCCACACACATCTGAGAAACTCAGTGGAAGCAGTTGGACAGATGGATGAGGAGGCCCCTGGGACAAAATTACCCTCAACTGTGCAATTAGGAATCCTGGGATTTATCATGTTTCTGAGGTCAGCTTACAGAATCCCTGCTGAGGTCTTTACGTCTCTCCTCTTGGGTGGTAAATGTTACAGTATTTCATAAGGATATTACATTTGTATAAAGCATTTTGCTTGCATGCAATATTAAAATCAAAAACAAAAACAGCATATCTGCTTTGTGCTAACAAATAAATCAGTTCTACTTAAAAAAAACTGCAATTTTTTAAAAAAAGAAATGATTATAGTCAATGCTTCTGTACAACCCTGAAATGTCCATTTGAATTTAACTTCCCTTTCTGACAGAGTCCTTAAGTGGCCGTGGTTAGTGCAGTTCAAGTGGATTTTGATGTATTTACAGCTTACAGTTAAGGTTCAAGTGGGCCATGCTAGATACTACACTTTGCATTTTTGCAGCAAGTCCAATGTTCTGCATCATTTACGGATTAAAATGTAGAACATGAGCATCACTGATCTGTTTTATCACCAATACCATGTCACACAATTACCCTTTTCCTAAGTAGTCACCTTGTTTATCAGGTTCCTATTGGCTTCTCTTCTGCCTCAAGATACTGCTCTGAACAAAAAGCAGTTTACTTGCTCACGTTCTTTCCTAATACTTCAAGCACCTGAACGTTCTCTTACACAGGCACGATGCCAGATTCCTCAAATGTCCCTCCTTGCCCTTTTAACTTAAGGAACAGAGGAACCAGCTTTATATCAAATCGTTGGCCCCTCATGTTTGCATGATGAGCAAGTGAAGCCCAGTGTTCAACCCTCACAGAACCCCTGCTGACAAGACAACCCACAGCTGGGGGCTGAACATCCAGGCCTGCACCCAGTGATGCTACAGTTGAACTGCAGCCTGTTACAACAGTCTGGCAACAGTGGGCAGCCGCTCTCTAGGCAGGATCCTTTCCTAACCCAGCCAGAGATGTGAAGCAGATGCTCCAGCTCTGCGCTAAGGTCCCTTCCTTGGGGCTGACAAGATTTTGCTTGTATACCCTTGCACATGTGACATTGATTGGGGTACAAATTATGTTATGGAGACCAAAAGAAAAGCATCAGGAGAGATCATTGTATCAGTGGGTAATATTTTCTTCAAAGTTTTTTCTAGCTATTGATGTATCATACTATGCTGGTCTGTCTCTGACAGTACAGAGAATACAAGAGAAAATGAGAGCCAATGTGGTGTAGTGGTTAAGAGTGCAGGACTGGGACTCATACAATCTGGATTCTAGTCCCTGTTCAACCATGGAGCCAACTAGGTGACTTTGGGCCAGACTCTCAGCCCAACCCACCTCACAAGGTTGTTGTTGTGGGGCATAAGATTGAGAGCAGGAGAGGATGATGTAAACTGCTTTGAGCTCAGTGTAAGAAAAAAGTGGGATATAAATCTAATAAAATATAAATATCCTTAATACGGCTACTTCCTCTGATCATATGATCAACACATTACTTCATCTGGTATGTTGATATTTAGCATTTAAGCAAACATGCTTGAATGGTAGGCATGACATATCAAAAACCTCCACTGCTGTTAAAAGATGTTCTAATAGATTTGGGTTGGGTGAAGAGTAGAAAAAGCCATTTAAAGCTGGTACATGCAAGCTAGCGCAACTGTCCCAGCAGGTGAGGCAACTCCTAAGAGAAGATATGGACAATGATTTGTTAGGATGGGATGGTTTAAGAAGGATCTTGAATAGTTTCTCCTCCAGAGGCAAAGGGATTGAAATTGGTGCATCTGGTGTGCTCTGTATCTAGCCAAGTAGCAATGCATTATCTACATGGAAGTGATGAGGTGACCTGCCACCACAGAAGAACCCAAATCAGAGGTGGCAACTGCTAGGTGACACCACTTGTCTAGAAAGATGAATACTCTCGATTGCTCAACAGCTTCCATTTTCCAAAGCTAGTGCAACACACTGGGCATCCTGTAGAAACTTCATGAAACTGTGGCAGATGACTGATAAGGGTTTTTATTATTAAAACCCCCCAAACTACCCTGTTGAATCTCTGAAATATTCCATTGAAGAAACAAAATATGAAACAATCAGTTGCTAAAGAAAAGACATTGCATATAGATGAAAAGTTAAGAATCACCATTAGTGAAACACTAAGATCAATTTGGTCCATGCTTCAAAGTCTGTACTAAGGCTATCTTTAATTCTGGAACTTCAAATGTTCAGTGTAAGGAATCCCATTCTTACACTAAATATTAAAGCAGCAATAATTTTGTTACTCATTTAGCATTATATTAAAATATGAGAAAGTGACACATTACAGCCATATTCTGTTTTGTTATTCAGCAGAACCTGGTGTGCATGCTAAAATCTCAACTGTCTGCTCAGTCTTTCCTGTATTACACCAATTCTATTCCAGCTTCTGAAGTCAACATAATTTGGCAAGAAGAGAGATGAAGAATTGAAGTACTGGCCAAACATGGTACACAAGTGACATAGATCGCCAACTAAGACTTCTGTCCAAGGTTCTTTTTTCATTTCCTAGACCTCAAAGTAATGTTGAGGCCAGTGAAAAAGATACAGGCAATACTATCCAAGTTTTTGGTTTTTACATCAAAATAGTTTTTCGTAAGTTGTCCAACACTGCAACTTTTGCTCTACTGATTACATCTCTTATGGAAACGGACTAAATATCTGATAAGTTATAAATATCAGTAGTGTAAGAGACTAGATACCAGTTGCAACAATTTACATTAAAACATCTGAAAATTCCTACCTGCATTTTTCTCCTCCTCAAGTTAAACATAAACATATGGCTACAAATCAGGCCAAGATCTTAAAAACTGTTATAACTCGTTCTACATATTCAAGGGTGCACTGGGTTTGCACCCAACATTTCTTCCTATTCCCTACCATGCTAAACAGCTTGTTAAACTCAAGTTTGGAGAACCCATAAGCCAGCTTCCATCTGTGAATCAGCCACCAACCACAGCAAAGCAAGACATGTGATTTTTAAAGCCTCAAATGGCGTGGGAGAGAATTTCATCAAATCCAGTGGAATGTTCAACTCTCACCAAACCATTTCCCCAAATATCACCCCGCCCCACCCCCCAATGTCACCAGCACTGCAAGGGAAAATTTATTACCACCTTACAAATAAGTTCCTTCGGTACTCAAAGCAAATAGCAGGTGCACAAAGACCAATTAACAGAGAAAGCTTCATGAAGGGGGGTTAAGTTCCCTTCCAGGTACCAGTCCCAACCTGATTCATCCCCTCCTATTTTTTTTTAAAGCAGATCCTAGTCACTGATCCCTGCACTGTGCCTTGTTGTTCTCAGATGGAAGTCATTCAAGCAACTAAGGGCTCAATTTGTTTTGTAATCATGCAATCAAATTGAAAGCATGTGATATCACAGATAAGCTTGACTATTACAAAGACTTTCATACCTCCAGACACATCCCTTTAGCTAGTAACAGGAATAGTTGAGGCTCTCATTACATAGCCATTTCATTTTGTCAAACAGAAACAGAATTTACTACAGACCATATTTAATACAAGAACTTGTCCATTTATTATGCGGGGGGGATTAACTGCAAGAATATAGTATCAATTTTTATACAAATTGCTATCTGGGTTTGTGCTACATAGCAAAAGGCAAGATCAACATGCCTATGCAAAGATCTCACACCATGATGACATTTACTATAAAAGGTGGGGGAATATCAAATTTAATATAACTGAAGTCACAGTGAGACAGCAAAACTTAGTTGCAATTTTCAGATTTAGGCCAGCTAAAAACCCCAGAATAACCCAGATCTCCCAAAACCATGCAAGAATGGACATACTGTCTAGTTACTTGGGGGTCTGTTGTTTTTTTTTGGACGGAGGGAGTTAGACACAGTATCTCCTTAGGCGACAATTGTCAGAAACTTCCTACTCTAACAATTGCTTCCAGAGCTAAAAAGTCATGTTTCTATTGCTGCAAATAAATGCATAATTGGCTCATTTCCTTATACCTAGCTTGTAGTAGTTTCAAATTTTGTACTGGTGCAGCAGGAGGCCAGCTTTCAGGTATTTCATTCAGTATCTCAGTATTCTGTCCTGACAACAATGTAATACACTGAGCAATTAAGTGAGCATAGTCATTTAAGATATAGTCACAGCAATGTATTAGCATTTGAGGAGAACACTAAGGTTTATTTAAATCTAGTGTAACTTGAATTCAACTTAACCTCTTCTGGAAGATAAACTACAACAGAAGCCACAAATGAGACTGTCTTGTCAGAAGTCATACAAAACACTTCAGTATAATGAAATAAAAGGACGAATCTACTTGTCTAAAAGACAATTCACTGTACACATTTTATTTACAGTTTTGTACACTGTCTTAATATGAATGGGACTGCTTTTCTATTTGAGCCGTTCTTAAACCAAAGCAAAACATAACCTAAAGAATACAAAGTGTTAAAATACAGCATAAGATACAAAAAACAGGAATACTATTTCTAGTAAGGAATGTAATTATGATGTTACATTTTAAAAATCCACAATTATGTTCAGGAAATCGCACAAACATATCACTGATTTGTAGCAAAGCTTTGATGTTACAAAATAATTACCAAAGAATGCACAAAATTAATGTTTATTAAACCTTTTGTCATATTCCCAGATCCTTCACCAATGTTACATGAGAAAGAACTGAAATCAGGATATCACTAATGTTATCAGAAAGGGAAACAAATAAATTAAATCTAGCAGCCATCAGCATCAGTTACAGCAATGATCATGCTGTATAAAGAAAGATTTGCTAGAAAAATGTATGCATCATACTCTTCTTTCAAACCAGCAAAACATGTTATTGCATACAATGCAAAGGTGAAAAAAGTAGTAGTTTATTCCCCTGTAGAAATGGCACTGTTTTCAGGATATTTTTAATATAATAGTGACTTTGCTAAGAAACACCACAGAGCGGGCTAGGGAGAGCTTTATGGATTCAGGGGGCAAATGTTGTACTGAAATTCTTTGATTGGATAAAGGTTACTTCAGTCAAAAAGTTGGAGGGGAACATAGAAGTACAAGACAAAAGCAAATGAGACTTTCACAAATTTAGCAACATTTAGATGGAAATCAGATTTAAATGCAGTCCACTCTGCTTTTATAGAGGCTTTGGTTCAGCTCCCAAATCTCGATTGCTTGACGCAGTCTCCTATGAAATACTTTGAAGGTGTCTTCTTAAACAACAAACCTATTTTTAGTGGTGGAGCCGCTCTTAGTAGCTGTGTCAGCATGGGACTGATAACCAATCACTATCTTTGGAGGAAGTCCTAACCTTTCCTTGTATACTCTCCTGAGAAATAAAAACACAGAAAATCAGTTTAAGCACTATTTTTCAGAAGAGAATCATACAATACTACTTTCATATGGATGCCAAGTTCTATCTTAATAATTGCCCAAAATTGGCTCTGTTGTTGACACAGTAACTGAAGCTAACAGCTGCAAAACTTTACAAATCTTCACTATAGCACGTAAGTCACCAAAGGGTCATTATCTTTAGGCTTTATGGGCAGTGTAAAAATTAAATAAAAATCTTTATACATCGTAGCATGCTCTAGTTTCTCCCAGCTATCATGTGCACTATCTACATTATACTATAGGGTATCAACAACTAAAAATATCTTAAAACATTTCTTTTTAACTGGTGGCTCACATCCTCACAGCAGTATCATCAGCATCAATTTGACTTCATATTCAGGGTATTTAACAAGAAATACAGGGAGAAAAAAAACCACACACGCCCCTTTTAACAGTTACGTGAAATAAGGAATGTTGGCAGGTGCCATTTATGACACAAGGTTGACTCAAGAGCACAACTATTAACAGCATAGGAAGTCTGCATCTGGTCTTTGGGAGACTCAAGTTAAGACTCAGTTAATCTCCTTTCAAAAACTTATTTTTTTCTAAAGTTAACCTCCCTACTTCATAAGAGAATGTAAAAATATACAGTGTACTTCAACTACAGGCAATGCCAATCTTTTCCAATTGATAAAATATTCTATAGTTAAACTGCCCTTGAAATGAACTATTACTGTGTGATTATTATAAATGTAACAATTAGGCTGCAATCCTACTTTGTCTCATGAGACTTCTAAAGAATATGTTTAGGCCTGGGCTCCACAAAGGCCAGTCTAGATGCATAATTCATAAAATAAAAAACTAGAAACAACCCTGCAACATGCTCTGGGCTCATGTGTTCCTCATTCTACATGACTGTAAGACTGGAAGTTTGTTTCCATTTTTTGATTAACTACCATTTCATCTTACATACAGAGTATGTTTATATACAAAATATAAACTGTGAATGAGACAAACTTCATCAACTATAATTTGAAGCTGTCTTGTTTCAAATAAACCATTAAACAGAGTTTAGCAATTGAACAAGTCAATAAACCATCAGTTATTAAAAAAATGGAAACAAACTTTTAAATCACCTTGTGGCTGTGCTGAGGGCAGGGGGTGGATGCAAGTTGTTTCCATCACAATACACTGTGGTTTATCATGATAGCCAATGCAACTCAGTGCTTAAGATACAGTGAAGAAGATAGTATTCTGGTTACTCAACATAACTTACCCTATATGTGTAACAGCATCCCTGTTTTCACATTCAGTAGTCCATATTGCTATTTTATCACCCTTGGCTCTAACATTAACAACAGCTCCACATACATCATCACTGTAGTCATCAAAGGACTCTCCAATAAGGCACAGCAGCTGCAAAAAATGAAGACAGAGGAGTCATCTAAATCAAAAAATGAAATTACACACAGAAACACAGTCATCACCAAAAACCTAGAACAAGTTTTCATCTGCCCATGAGAGACCACCAGGAAGAGAATATTCCACAAGGCTAGAGAAAAACTCCTAGTGGATGATACCACAGCTCACTTAAAGGAGGAGTTTGCAGCAGGACATCACTGGTGATCCTTGAGATTCAGACTGTACAAGACTGAAAGGCCAAAACCAGAATCCTGAACTGGGCCTGGAAGAAAACTGGTGATAAATATATATATTTCAGAAAGGGCACAGCATGTTCCTATCAACCTATACTCATCAACAAGCAGCTGCAGTTTCCAAACCACCTCCAGTGACAGCAACACATGTGACTTTGATCATTTGCACAGCAAAGTTGGGGAGGATGAGATGTGTGAAGTATTTCTGCCAATATATCAGCTGGGATATGACATAATCCGCAAAATGGGGCTGACTAGATTGCAGTGCTCCTATACCACCCATTGCAGAACATACGAACTAGGGTAATGCAAATCCTATGACACTAACTTGAGTAAGCCTCATATATTTTAAAGTGTTTGTACACCTTCCCCAACCTTATCCTTTTATTCTTATCCAAGGAAACAAAGTTACAGTACTACAAAACTAGAAATTCCCATCTTGCTGCCCTTCAAAAGAGGCAAGCTTGGCACCTTCTCTGCAAGTCCCTGAGAATCATACAACTTTACACTGCATCTGAGTTATTCTATAACCTTAGAGCAATTGTGGTAAAGTGTCTGCTTTATCCCAGATGCCCTTAACTTTCCTCAAGTGAAGAATAGAAAAAGGTTCACCCTACGGAACTTAAACAGCTGGGATTTATTAGTCACTCTGGGAGCCATTTTCAGCTGAATAATCAGTAAAGCAACAATGGGAAAGAATTTGAACTCATACACTGCTTTAAAAGGAACCATCTCCAGCTTGAAATTTGCAAGAAAGTTCAAAGGCTCTCAATGTAACTCTGAAAGAAAGGACTGTGATCCTGCCTTCACTTTTCTGGCTGGAGATTGGCAATGGCATTTGGAATCAGAGGAAGTCTCCAAGTTATCCTAAAGGGGAGCACCATGAAAACTTTTATATTAGCCAATATCAGAAACATGGATCATGCCAAGATCCCATTTTTCCCAATAAGGTGACCAGTAAGAAATGGTTTTAAAAAGGCAGTCCTTGGCACATATATAGGAGCAAAGCAGCATTCAGGAGCTTCCCTAAACTTTTTAACCTGATCAGCCTGGGCGATTACCACCCTCATCAGTCTAAAGGACAACCCATTCCAAAGATCTGATACTACTTCCTTCTTTCCGCAAAGCAATTTCAGTGTCATCTCATTCACTCTATTACAGCCTTCAAATAGCAATTACTCTGTAGAGTTGCTGTTGTCATGTACTATATCACCTCCTTCTTATGGAGCCTATGCAAACCCTAAGAAAGAATGGCCTCCAAGAAATCTTGTCCATGTAAACCCAGGGCTGTGGATTCCTATATGTAATTGAGCTATTTCATATATGGTCTTGTTTTGCCTTTGGCTTTCCCTAGCATTACTGTAAAGTAATGATATACGCAAAGTATAATAGCTTGATTTTGTCATTTTTACCTCCAAGGAAAGTTCTAACTTGATTTGATCTAGGATCCACTTCTTTGTCCTGAATTTGGTTTACTTTACCAACAATAATGTCACAGTGAGCTGCAGAGATCTCATTCTTTGTTGGATCTTCCCTCAGGCCAGATCCTCTGAGCTCCAAGAGCCCATCTGGACCAGATTTTGCTGATGTACTGATAGTGAAGAATGATTTTTCAGCCACCATCACCACCACCTCATAGCCCTACCAGTGCATACAATCATAGGGATGGCAAACCTAGAGCCGTCAGGCCTCCATACCCAACCCATAACCTTTCCCCCAGACCATTACCCAAACTAAACTCCACCCAGCCCAGCAAGCACATTCCAATTATTTAGATCTGATATGCACTACTCAACTTCCTCTTAGCAGCACTTAATGGAGTGGAGAACAAGCAGCAAAGTGCTTTACTCACTTATAATCAACTGCGTTACTGCCCAAAACCTCAGCAATGCCCAAAACTGACGGCGCATTTCCAAAATCTAAAGGGAGAAGCTAAGGACTACTGAGCATTAACAAAACTGCACAAGCAACATTGTTAAGCTATTTAGTTGTCCTTTAATTGTCTCCTTTCCTGCTCAGCTGTCCTACATTTTAGAGATTAGAATGTTAAGGAGGAAATTCCATCTCTTTGATCCCTCAACCAGCAGAGCACCAGTTATTTGTCTGATTCACCTCACCTAAGAAACCCTAACCAGCAGATTATGCCAAGTGAAGTGCAAATCAATCAGGAAATTACCTAACCATAATTCAGTTGGTGTGCCATTTCCTCAGCCTTTAAGAATCTAGGAAGAAAACAGCTTTTTTTCACAAACATAACCAAGAAAATATCACACACAAAACTTACTGTCTCTAGCCAGAAGCGATCAAGGTCACTTCGTCTCTGCTGCTTGTTTAGTGTAATTAGCCATCGTCCTCCTCGTTTATTCTTCTCATCTTCCCACATGGGCTCAATACCATCCTAAAGGTACAGTTCAAGGATCAAAGATGAAATCCATATGCTGTGGACTGTCTTATATCAATTCTAAAATACTATCTGGAATCAAGTTATCCTCATAGCATTAAGATTCATTTGTGTAAAATAGAATATTGCTGTCTTTTAAACATCAATATGCAAGACAATGCACAGAAAGAGTTATCCTACTGCTAAAAAATATTGAGGGACAGAATAAAGGAATTTATTTTTAGGCTGTAACATAAAGGCAAACAGTAAGCAGAATAGCAGCAGAGCCATTTAAAACTGGTGACACATACCATACTCAAACAGGAAAGATCACTAGTATGCTTGGGTTCAGCTATTTATGAGAACTGGAACCCCACTGGTATACTTTCTCTAGAAATCAAGTTCCATGATGCAGTCTGGGAAGCTAGGTACATCTCACTGAACAGGATCACATTAATCAGTATATAATCTTGCTTATATATGGTCTTTCACACAAATTATCTCCCCACCCCCAGCACAAATTATTTAACTCAAATGAGGTAACGCTGATTTTAAAAAGTTTACTCTTCATACCTTAAAGAGTGAGTAGTCACAACCAGGCAATAAGTTACTAGAGAGCTGGATATGGTTATATAACCTATTTGGGAAAAGCAAAACACCATTAAAAATGAATTCACAAAGTCTGATATGTACAAACACTCTACAATCCTAGAGCTAAAGCTTGAGCTTTTGAATATAAATATAACCCTACCCTCAACAAACACTTGGTATTAAAAAGAAAAAAAATGAAACCATAACCCAGTTACATGACCCTGTTCATAATCTAAGACCATTCAACTTCCATTATTTCAAGAGTTTAGAACAAAGCTCACTGGAGTTCACCATATTTAATAACATGGAAATTTATTTATTTAAAGCTTTTCTAACCTGTCCCAGTAGTGTCTCAGGACAGCTTACAATGAAAAATGAGTAAGATAAACAAAGCAGCACAGCATCCAGCAGCTAAGATAATAAAACCCCAGTTAAAACCATCTAAACATTAAAATGATGGAAAAATAAAAAGGGTTTCTCCTGACGTTGAAAAGAATATAGTTTCGGCACCAGGCAAACCTCTCTGGGGAACATATTCCATAGCTGGGGCACCACCACAAAGAAGGCCCTCCTCCTAATCTCCTTCAAGGAGGGTCCGCGGAGCCGGACCTCCATCTCAAGGGGTAGGAAGGCACAAAGGGAAGGTGTTCCTTCAGGTATCCCAGACCTAAGCCATTTAGGACTTTTTAGGTCATCACCAGCACCTTAAAATGGGCCCAAATTTCAATTGGCAGCCAGTGTAACTGAAAGAAGACTGGTGTTTTATGAGTACCTGCTGGTCTCTGTCAACATTCTGGCAGCTCTATTCTGAAACAAATGAAGTATCAGGACCATCTTCAAAGTAGAGTTGGGTGTCATCAGCATACTGATGACTCCACAGCCCAAACCCTTGGATGACCTCTCCCAGCGGTTTCATGTAGATGTTAAAAAGCATGGGAGATAAGATGGATCCCTGCGGAACTCCATGGCAGAGCTGCCATGGTGCAGAGCCATAATCTCCCAGCACCACCTTCTGGAATTGGCTAGACAGGTAGGAGTGGAACCACTGCGAAGCAGTGCCTCCAACTCCCAACTCGCCCAGCCTGTCCAGGATACCATGGTTGATGGTATCAAAAGTCACGGAGAGGTCCAGGAGAACCAACACTGACGCACTCCGCTGTCCCTCCCGCTGCACAGATCATATAGGGCAACTAAGACAGTTTCAGTTCCATAGCTGACTGCTTGTGTTTTCTTATGCCTCTACATTATTCATTCCTTGATCTGCAACTTATTAAAAATGCCTGCAGATACAGTTTTGAATCCCGAGTTCTTCCTTGATCAATTTAAGAAGTTAAGGTATCAACTTTTTAAATTAAAACATTAGCCAAACTTTCACTATTTGTTTGAGCACTCCTTCCGTTCACCTTACTCAGTTCCTTCTATTTCTCTTTGTCATCCTTCATAATGAACAGAAAAAGGAAGGAAGACTCAAAGTTGAAGTTCAGCTTAAGTTCTGATATACAGATTTCAAGGTTGATGTGCAGGCCATTTCTGGGGTAGATTTTAAAAGCCACATAGTAATATATTACAAGGGGGTGAGGAAGGACTTTGGGAATGAATGCTACTGGCATCTGAAAACTTCACTTACGCCCAAAAATCTTCAACAGTATCAAACTTTGAGATCAGACGAAGATTTGCTTGCCAGGTTTTACTTTTGTCATTTTTAAAGAACCAGAGTGCCCACCTGAAAAATATTGAATTAGCGTTAGCCTACAACACACTATTAACCTTTTTTTTAACTTTAGAGCACAGTAGTAGTTTAGGAAGAAAAAATAATTTAAGAGGATAGCAAAAGTCCCATGGGCTTATTTTTTTCAAATCCCGCTGCTACTGAGGCTCTAGATGCCAACACTGACGATATTTATATTTAGCTATAATGAATGCCTGCTTAAAACAGAACAAAACATGATTACAAATACATTTGTATCCTCAGTTCAGTCCCCTTTTGGAAACAGATCCTGAGGAAATCTATTTGAAGGATATAATCTGAAACATGCCTTTAAAGAACACTTATGCCCCAATCCTAGTCGTGGCATTACACACATGGCAGCAGGCAGCTAGCTGCCATTATGTCTAAGTTAACTTCCTTAAGCCAACATGTACAGTGACTTTAAAAAAAAGCACTAAAAGACTCAGGATCAACTTCTTCAGGAGAAGACCTGATTTCAGCATGCACTGCTGTTTCTTCCTCCTAAGGAACTGATTAGCAGTTGTTTAACTTTCCAGAAAGGTTTGAGACTCACAGCTACTGTGCATGTGCTTCCCTGAATGCAAATATTGCTGTAGAGGCAGAACATTACCAGGACATACTTAACATTTTTCTGTTTTGTCATGTAAGAGTTAAAAAATTACATATTTTACTAAGTGAAGAAGCTGGTACTGTAATATTCAGTTAACTATTTAAATATGGGTTTTATTATCCTAAGACATACAGGAAAAGTATACTGTAGTATACTTCAGCATACTAAACTTCTAAAATACATGCATATTAGAATAACCTAACCAGAAACAAAGACAATATAGGATTATAGATATGATAGCAAGAATCTTCCTTGCATGAGGTTTAAGATGACTTTCCCCCCAGGACATAACCTATTTTACTACTTAACTTGGCACGATGTTGACCTGTTTCTCACATAACCCATGATAAGCTGTGGTGCATGTCTCCATCATTGCACATATGCAACCTCCAAGTAGAGGTTGCTCTATGCCACACAAACCCAGACACTACAGACTAATCACTGGTTCAGCAACCAACAGTTAACAATTAGTTGTGATATTAACTGTAGGTTGTTAAGCCCACAATTAACATAGAGTGTCCGGTGCTGGCAACAATCAGCAACCTCCAATCAGAGGTTGCATATGCAAAATAATGTTGGCACAAGCAGAGGAAAGTGTATGTTAATTAAGCTACAATTTACTGCCATTTTGTGTGAATGGAATGATTCACACTAGAGCATGTATTGTGTAGTGGTCAGAGTGCTGTACTGGGAAGCCAGGAAAATTGGGTTTTAGTCCTCATTTGGCTATGCATGTCACTGGATGATCGTGGGTCCATCACTGACTCTCAGCTTAGGCCATCTCACAAGGTTGTTGTGAAAATGGGGAGAAATAGGATCCTGGAATCTGCCCTGGGTTCCTTTCAAGAGATAAAAAGGGCTGGGAATAAATGTAATTACTACTACCACCACCATGACTTCACAAACAGTACTTTTTCCCATCTGCCAACCATCTCTAAAATATTAGTAAATTTCAACACTGCAGAGCCTTCTTCACAAGGGAAAAGAACTAGTGTCAGCTTCACATAATGATATCATTCCAAACATCCAACAATTATTTTGACAGATATCAATCCTGTATTATATAGCATTTAAAAAAGCATGTCTCACCTGTTTTGTAATGGATGCTTTACGTATTGTTCAGGACTGACTATCTCCTGACTTGCTGATGTCTCAGTTTTTTCTTCTTCTGAAGTTTGAGGGTTAGAAGTGGTTTCCTACATAAACAAAATAATTAACTTGCTTCTTTTAAACTGTGATATATAATGTTGTGTAACTATTCCTTTTAGCATAATTATTTCCAGATATGCAGGCATAAACATCTGCAAGTCCTTATAATATGGATATAACTATATGATTTTGCCAATATGGGGGCTTAAACATTCAAGACTTCCAAGGCTCCATGTGAAGAGCAAGGCAGTATTCTTACACAACTGCAGGAGCAACAAAAAGTTCAAACTTGCCTCTTGGTCCAAGATCTTTTTATATTAATGGATATCAGAAATACCAGAACAGGAGGCCTCAAATAAAAATGTATTTATTTAGGATATTTCTAGGCCATCCATCACTTTCATCTCTGGATGGCTTACAAGTTCACAAATAAATTGTTTAGATCAGGTGTAGGCAACTTTTGGTCCACAACTTCTATCAACTCCGGCCAGTAAGGGACCATGGGAGTTGTAGACCCTAGAGCAGCCTTCCCCAACCTGGTGCCCTTCAGAGGCATTTGGATGATGACTCCCAGAATTCCCATCCAGCAGGGACATTAACTGGAAATTCTGAGTATTGCAGTCCAAACGTGTCTGGAAGGCACAAGGTTGGGGAAGGCTGCCCTAGAGCACCATTAAGATGCTCACCCCAGTCTAAATCTGAAGGTCAATGAAACACCAAACCATGATACAAGCACACCCTGTCAATTATCAATAACTTTAACTGGTTGAATGTAGTATTGCCATACCATTTTCTACCTACCCTAATTTATAAGATTTGATTAGGAAATATGTCCAGAGAAACAGCATCTTGCAACACAAGTCTATACATAGCTACTTTTAACAGATTCACTAAGTTATGGTGATTGCACATGGAAAGCAAAACAGTGGGTGAGCTTCATCCTAAAAAAATCACATTCAGTTCCCACTAAAAGAAATACACAAAGTTAGTCGTAACTAAATTAGTTTCCAAATAAATCAGAAGAGCCTAAGTGTGACTAACTTAGTTTGGATTCAAGCTATTATGTCAGGGACTCTATACTGTCTCATCAAACTTATTTTGTTTCCAATATTCTATTCACACTGATATGGGAAGGGAGAAGGAACACAACCCTATTCTGCCTCTCAACATGTTAAGATTCAAAATTCTGATCTAGATATGGGAGTACTTTTTAGAAACTGAAGTGGTATATAAAATAAAACTAATTGTGATTACCTGATTTTAAAATTCCATGTTGTATTACCTGGCAATGAAGCATTAAGTATAAATTGTCTAATAAATGACTCACAGAACAACTTCAATTAGAATTAACAAATAGAAAAGCAGCATTTGACATTGCCAACACTGAAACATGAGACTTTCAATTGTATCTGCATCCATAGTTGTAATTACAAGGTATTTATTATTCCTTAAGTGAAGGATGTCTTTGAGTAAGTCATATCATAAAAACATAATCCCTTCAATTAGGAATCCGAGTAGCAATGAATTAGTGTTGATGCTTACTTTGACACCACTTTATACTTACCATTGTAATGTGGCAAGGAAACTTCCAACAGCAAATTATATAAAAGTTTTTTTTTAATGTTTTAGTAACTTTTCACTAAAGAAGAAATTATTACATTGATGATTATACTTTTCCACATGATAGATTTTCTGAACAGGAAAAAAGTTTCTCTAAATTGAATGAGTTCAGGTATGCTCAATGGGTATTTTAAGTATTTTTAGAACATATATTTTAGCATTTGGTATTTAATGTCATGGGGTTCAGAATTATAGTCTTGTGATATAAGTAGATGACTTTTCTGTATCTTTCATTAATGAGCATTAGCTGGCTAACTACCTCTCTTGGAAACAAAACATGTTAAAATAGTACATTATAGCCACTACTACTGAAGAGTTAATACTTACCCTTACAATACTACATAACCCCAAAAGGTTTTCAATCATGATGATTAATAGCTTGCTACTTCAATACAAGTCCCTTACACAGACACACACAGCTGATGAAACTGATGAAAATGAGGGACCCAGAAATGCTGAGATTCAGAAGATCGTTTCCCCAAAGAGTTATGGTTCTTAAGACTATTATGGATCATTCCATTAAGTCTGCTTCTTCTATGCTTATGAAAAGCCTTCTTATATTGAGAACCATCCACAGACTAAGAAAAACAGTATTTTTTAAAACTATGCCTACTCTTGAAACTGACAGAAAAAGAACACAACATTTTTGTATAGCCGACTGCACTGGGACATTCTGAACACATGCTACACCCAGGCAAACCCCAGTCCTTCTCTATTTTCAATGAAATGCTTTTATGCTAGCTTAGAAGTTTAAGTAGTCAACTTCCTATACAGTGCTAAGGCCAATTTACAGGAACACTTAGCTCACAGCAAGCATTTCAAGCTGCAAAGATGCTCCTATTAAATAAGCTGTCATAATTCATCACTGCAACCCAAGACCCTAATTTTGTACACCACCTGTCAGCCTACATTGGAACAGGTTGCGCTGATAGGAAAAATACTTTTTTGCTGAACGAGTTAATGATTCAAACGAGCCTTTGGCCATGAAAATCGCGATGTGATAAGAACAAGAAAATATCTATTCAAATGCTGTAGAATCATATAAAAAAAAGCCTAAGTTAAAAATAAAATTATTTTCTGAAAACGCTGGTACTGAGTAGAATTAGGTCTTATAGAAGGAACAGATCCTACAGATTTAGAATAGACTGAATAAACTTGGAAGTTGGTTTTCCATGGCCACACTTCTTTACTTAATAGAGGAAAAAAGGAACAGAAAAGCAAGCTAAGACCAGCGACCCGAAAGAAAGCACTTTCGAGAACAGAAAAGGAGTCGAAGTCCACGGGCCGGCCAGGTGGACCACCTCCAGCCTAACCAAAGACCTATTTGGGCTGCCGTGGAGGCCGCGCTGAAGAGCAAAGCACGCGGGGTGCGGGGCAGGAGGGGGAGGCGCGTCTCTGCCGGTTCTCGGCGCCGCGGCTGTCTGGCAGGCCAGGGTAGGCCGGCGCGCGCTTGTGGGAAGTTAGGAAGGAAAGAGATGGGAGAAGACGCCGGCAAAAGCGGGGAGGGCCCTCAAGCCGCTGCCACCTATGGCGGCGCGCCCCGGCAAACTAAAATAATAGGAATAATGTTGAAAAGTTAGATCCCGCAAGCTCAAACACGCGCGCGAGCTCGCCGCCGCCGCCCCCCGCTCCCCCCGAATTCTCTCTTCCCCCCCACGCCGGCCCTCCTAGGCCTCTCTCCTTCTCGTCACGCGACCCCTCCCCTGCCGCCCTCCACGCCCCCGCCCAAGCTGTGACGGCACAATTCCCGGCCGGCCGCACTCACGCGCTCGGAACCCACCCGGCCTTCCGCCCCTCCCCATTATTCCCTCAAGTCACCCCCCCGCGCACGCCGGCGCCTTTCGCTCGCCGTACGCGTGCTCCCCCCGCCCCCCGCCACATATTCCCAGGCCGCTGCTGCCCCCTTCTCCTCCTCCTTTTCAGCCGCCTCTTTCCCCGTCCTCCCAAAGATACTCTCCCTCCACCACTATTTCCGCCAGGGCCTTCGAGTCTTTCCTTAACCCTGTCAGAAAGCGAAATAGGAGGACGAGGAAAAGCTGAGGGAGGGGGAAAGGGGAGAAAGGAAGCGGGAATAAGGACACTCACCGGTTCCACCGTCGCCATCTTAGATCGCTCTGATCGCACAAGTGCGGAGGGAGGGGAGAGGTAAAAGGGGAAGGCGGATAACAAATCAGGTTCGAAAGCGATTGGCCGATGGGGCGTCACGTGCCGGCGACGCCCGTTTTGGCGGCTCGGCGCGTGCGCGAAGCCGGTACGGGAAGGGGTTGGTGGTTGAGGCTGGCGGGAGGGAAAGCAGCGGGTTCTGGGAATTGTAGTCTCCGATTGACGGCTATTGGGGAGTTGCCTTTCCCCCTTGCCTCCCTCCCTGTCTCCCCGTTACAGGAGAGACAGTCACGTGGGAAAGGCAGACAGGGGCATGTCAGGTTGAGGCGACGTAGCTCCGAACGAAAATGTGACCCCTGGAGTCTGGAAACGGCAACTGCATCTGTAGGCGTAAGGTGGCACAAGTCCCACCACAAACGCCAGGCTTGGTGCCGCGGCTGCCCATGTTCTGTCACGGGGGTGTCAGCATGTGTGATGCAAGCCCCTCCTCATCTCTCAAGTCACGGCCATTCAGCTCCTCATCCAAAATCTTGATGACGGAGAAACTAGCAGCAGACAAGTAATCCGTCCCTCATCATTCCCATACTTTTAGTTCTGTGCAATTGGATGAGCAGCAGACTACAAATCTCTATCTTCCAATCCGATATATCTTTCTTGACTTGTTTACTCGAAGCAGGCAGAAATTCGTTGGTTGATTTTTTTAAAGGGTAAAGTTATTAGACGATAAGGATGCAACCCTACACATAGACAGGGAAAGCAACCCTACATCTCCCAGTGTGCCCCAACATGGTACTGAGGCATGTTGGGAGATGTAGGATCTGATTTCCTGTCTAAATATGCGTAGGATTGTGCCCTCAATCGTTTCCCTAGTCTGTACAGAGGACTGTTATAGTTTCGTTTCCAGAGAGCAGTGGTTGCTTGCCAGCCTGCCAGATTTTTGGATAAGTTTATTTGTTCTGGCCTATTGTCAGAGCGGGGAGATTTCATATATTCTACTTCATGTCAGCTCCTGCCAAAAGTCAGTATACTGCCACAAACTACAGGCTCACTATTGAGGACTAGAACTGATGCCTTTTCTGCCTACCAATAGTTTTTACTATTCTGGATGGATGTGGTGCACAGCAGGATTCACAGACTTCTGAGAGATTTATTCTGACAGTAAATTCTATCAGTCACCCTTCAAAATTCATTTTTGCTGTATCACTGCCAACACTTTGTGACATGGTAGACCCTCTTTTTACTGAAAAGTCACCACAGGTTGTAGGCTGAAAAATCACATATTGGAGATGTCTTTTTTTAATCTCCGAAGTGACCATCTCTACTATTCTTCCTACATTTGTAGAAGAGTGGCATATACATTATTACTATCATCATCAAGTACCTTTTTGGACAGGAGTAAAAGAAAAATAAGCTTTTGAATATTCTACCTGGAAAACATCCTCAGTACACTTTTCATTGGGGAATAAAAGGCTAATGGTTGATCAATACAGAGAAGTCAAGCTATATTAAGATAGATAACAATTTTTCATGGAGTAAAGGTGCATTGTTATGCATGTTGATACAGAAAAGATAATTTGCTGCAACTCTAATATGTTATGCAGTATACAGAAATATTTCATCTTGTGTTTGTCAGAATTTTTCAGAGTGTATTGTTTGTTGACAACATTTGCATTGTACATAATTATTAGACATTGATTTCATCGCAATATCCTTCAGCTGTGGGGCTCTGGGATTATGTAGCTCTCCAGCATATGAACGTAGTGCTTTTGTACTAGGGGCTTGGGAGGTAGCTACATATTACACAGATATTTGCACAAAGCATGTTAGAAATGCTAACATCTATTTAGAAATGCTTGAACTAATTGGTATTACTGAATAAACTTGGGAATAACCAGTTTATTAATGTTTAAGTGAGCGAATACTGTTGACAAGATCAGCATGAACAACAATGAATGACCCAATCTATTCTAAGTAGGGATGTCATGGATAAGATATTCTTGAGGGCTTTCATTCATAGGGTCGTCATAAGTCAGAGATTACCTGGCACATAACAATGAAAAATGCAAGAATCAGGATGAGCTAACAAGCTCAGGAAGAATCTTGTTTATTACTGTTGGGAGGGCAATTCTTTTCCATGTAATTGTCACAACACAGATAGAATCTACTAATTCAAGGATCTGCATGGAAATAATGTTCATTACACATTGACAAATGAACACTACCTTAAATTTTTCCATCCTTTATTTTTCTAAACATAGCACAGATGGGGCACAATCCAGCAAACTACAGCCAACTGAAACAACAGAGCATTATAATACAATAAAGTACAATACAGCTGAAATACAAGCAGTGGCATAAAGACACAACAACATTTCTTTATGAGTAGTTATTGGAATAAAACAGTGTTTACAGCTTTAATCTGAAATCTTTATTAGAATGAGGTGCTACATGTCTTTGAGGAAGGTGTTCCACAGTGCAGGAACCTCCATGGAGATGGCCCCGATTCAAGCAAAATGCAATCTGGTTCCTGTAATGAAGATATCTGAAGCAAGGTGTGACTAGATGATTGCAGTACACATGAAGGTTAAACTTGAGAAATTCAGAATTAGGTCTCACTGATTTCATTGTGTACAGGTGAGTATACATAGGATTTGCAGCCACTCAGAATTCATTTTGTATGTTGTTATGCAGGTGCATAAGATAAAAACTCAATTTTGAACTGTTGACATAATAAACACTGGAACATGAATGAGTCTGAAATGGACACATTTCTGAATCATGACCTGTTTATCCAGATTTATGAAATGCAGGAATGCAACACATCCTCCCCTCAATGCACTGCATAAACAAGATTAGGAATCTGCCATTCTTCTGTTATTTATTATTTACAAGATTTTATTTCAAAGTTTGCATTTCACTGTTACTCCACTGTAGGTTATCCAACCCACCATTAGTTAAACTGTGGATGAGTCCATGATCCTAGATTAAAAAATAAACTAGAAAAAGCAAATTGTCATGAGATTGTACATGCCTTCACTCTAGTATTTTACCAATGTATACAGAAGAGTAAACTGCTACAGGAAAAAGAATCTTAATGTAACTTTACATACAGTAAAAAATATATGTGCCCATCCTGAATTAATTGAATCACTGGACTCTTTAGCAAGCTGCTTGTTCCAGTTCTAAAATCATGGTACATTTTTAAAAGTGTCCTAGTTAAACTGAAATTCAAGAGGACTGAAACTCAGGTAGAAGAATCCAACCAAACAGTAACTAAAAGGATAGAATTAGTGACCATACATGGTACCAAACCCTAAACCATATCAGGCTAACCTGTGATAGAAGCAGCCTTATGAAGAAATGGAAGAGTTCTGATCTAGTTACCTTTGGGGCTTCTATCAATTCTACTTAACAGTGTCTTTTCCAGTCAGTGCTCAATGATTTCCCATAGCCCAAGATCTATACTTTCAGTTCTTTATTTTCCTAGAAACACCTATACTTCCCACCTGGCTAGGCCAGTCAAACAGCTCTGAGAGGTCCCTCACATTAATGAACTACCCATTTGATCCATTCCATTTGTTCCTAAATAATGAACTTTCTGATGAAGGTATTTAGGACTTAAGCATTATTGAAGGAGTGATCATGACAACTAGAGGTAAGCCCCTCATTCTCTGGGCCAGCAGAAGGAGGTGTTGTTGTGTTACCCAGTGATTTTTCAGTGTCACAAAGGAAGCTGCTGAAAATGAAGAACTGTAATTTACTAACTTAAGGCACATCAGGTGATGGAAAGGGCCACTGGCCTTTCACCTGACCCTATAATACAGAAATGGAGAAAATGTGGCCTTCCAGATGTTGGACTGCAGTTCTGGTGAGCCCTCACTATTGGCTATGTACATAGGCATACCGCTTCCGATACTGGAAGTAGCATATATCCATTAGCATTTGTAGTCATTGACTGTCTAATCCTACAGAAAATTGTCCACTCCCCTTTTAAAGCCATACAAAATTGATGGCCATCAGTGCATCTTGTGGAAGTATGCTTTGTGAAGACATACTTCCTTCTACTTGCTCTGGATCTCCCACCAATTAGTCTCATAGGATGATCCTGTGTTCTAGTATTCTTGTACACTGGATGAAAAATGTCTCTCCATCCACTTTTTCCACACCATGCGTACTTCTGTACATCTCTGTCATGTCTCCCCTTGTTTTGTTTTTTCTTCTAAGCTGAGCAATCCCAGCTGTTGTAACCTTTTCTAATAGGAGAACTGCTCCACTCACATGAACATTTTAGCTGTCCTTTTCTGTACTTTCTCCAGTTCTACAATATTCTTTTTTAAAGTGTAGTGCCCAGAAATTGTAAGCCGCCCCGAGGCTTTCTGCGAATGGGGCAGCATAAAAATGTTTTAAATAAAGAAGTAAATAAAAAAATGTACACAGTATTCTAATTGTGGTCACACCATAAATTTGTATAAAGGCTCTATGATACTGGGAGTTTCATTTTTAATTCCTTTCCTAACATGAAGTTTGCCTTTTTCACTGTACCTGTACACTGAGTCAACATTTTCATTAGGCTGTCTACCACAACCCCAAGAGTTCTTTCTTTTTCAGAGGCTGCTAATTCAGCTTTCATTTATACTTGAAGCTATAATTTTTGTCCCAAAGGGCATTACTAGACAGATAATGATTTGCCAGTTTGATGCCCACTCTTTCAGTTTGGAGAGATCGTTTAAAAGCACCTTGCAATCTCTTTATTTAAATAATTTAGTGTCATTGGCAAATTTGGCTACTTTAGTGCTTACTCCTAATTTCAGACCATTCACTCCAGCATGAATGAGTTCAAAAGCATGTATCCTAGTGCATGCATTTGTGGGACCCCAGTGTTTACATCCCTCCATTGAGAGAATTTTCTATTATTTATTCCTACTCTCCGCTTTCTATTATTTAACTAGCTACTGATTCATAAGAGGATTTCTTTTATTCCATGCTTGCTACATTTGCTCTGGAGTCTTTTGGTGAGAGACTTTGTTGGAAGTCCAGGTAAACAGCCAGTGATCTTATTACCTGAGCTGATAGATGCTGTCTTGGTTACAATGAGGAGGTCCACCAGTCTGTAGGTCTTGGGGGAGGCTAACATCCATGCTGAGGGCACCCTATCTGGGGAGCTTCAGGATTTCATGACAACCATGGGACTGTACTAACAATGTCATCAGCACAGCATATATAGTAGGGTACTCTCTAGATCCATTTTTTCAGCCTCTCAACTCCCTGGCTGTTCTCCTGAATATAGAGATGACCTGGGGGTTGAAATGAATGTTTCGGAACACCCTCTCTGTAGTAGAGCCAGGTGGGTCCATGATATGCCCTGGAACTGAAAGAGATGAAACAAAGTGGATGCAGCTGAAGTATAAATGGAAAGAAATGCTTAATAGATGCAAGCAAACCTTTCAGGTTTTAGTCTGCTGGACACTATGTCCTCTTGGCCACTACACCCTCCCATGTTTTGCATGTCAGTTCTGACAAACACAGTTCACATCTCCCCCCACATCCAAATATACATCTGCCATTTGAGGCAAATACTTCATGCGCCTCACAAAGTCGCCAGTGTCCATGTAAACTCACACCAGAAGAATCTGTTAGTATCGTTCACCTAAATTACAAGTTGCACTGCTTTCCTGGAACATCACACTGTCGTTATACAGATAACCTCTCATTTGAGCCATTTCTGCCCTAATTTCCATCTTACGCTTCTCCTTGCTTCTGCCTCTTCTTTTAAAGCATTTGAAGAACGACTTGTTAGTCGCGAAGTCATGTCCGACCCATCGCGACCCCATGGACAACATTCCTCCAGGCCTTCCTGTCCTCCACCATCCCCCAGAGTCCACTCAAGCTCACACCAACTGCTTCAGTGACTCCATCCAGCCACCTCATCCTCTGCCGTCCTTCTTCTTTTGCCATCTATTGTTCCCAGCATTAGACTCTTCTCCAGGGAGTCCTTCCTTCTCATTAGGTGGCCAAAGTATTTGAGTTTCATCTTCAGGATCTGGCCTTCTAAAGAGCAGTCAGGGTGGATCTCCTCTAGGACTGACTGGTTTGATTGCCTTCCTGTCCAAGGGACTCGCAGGAGTCTCCACCAGCACAATTCAAAGGCCTCAATTCTTCGGCGCTCAGCCTTCCTTATGGTCCAACTTTCACAGCTATACAATGCAACTGGGAAAACCACAGCCTTGACTATACGCACTTTTGTTGGCAGGGTGATGTCTCTGCTTTTTAGTATGCTATCTAGATTTGCCACAGCCTTCCTCCGCAGGAGCAAGCATCTTTTAATTTCTTGGCTGCAGTCCCCGTCTGTGGTGATCTTGGAGCCCAGGAAAATAAAATCTGTCTACCTCCATTTCTTCCCCATCTAATTGCCAGGAAGTGAGAGGACTGGATGCCATGATCTTAGTTTTCTTAATGTTGAGTTTCAAGCCAACTTTTGTGCTCTCCTCCTTCACCCGCATCAAGAGGCCCTTTAGTTCCTCTTCACTTTCTGCCATGAGAGTGGTATCATCTTCATATCTGAGGTTGTTGATATTTCTCCCAGCAGTCTTAATTCCAACTGGTGATTCAGCTAGGCCCGCCTTTCTCATGATGTGCTCTGCATATAAGTTAAATAGGCAGGGCAACAGTATAGTCTTGCTGAACTCCTTTCTCAATTTTGAACCGATCAGTGGTTCCGTGCCCAGTTCTCACTGTTGCTTCTTGACCTGCATATAGGTTTCTCAAGAGACAAATAAGATGATCAGGTACTCCCATCCCTTAAGAACTTGTAACAGTTTGTTGTGATCTACACAATCAAAGGCTTTAGCATAGTCAATGAAGCAGATGTTTTTCTGGAACTCCCTAGCTTTCTCCATGATCCATATGTTGGCAATTTGATCTCTAGTTCCTCCCCCTCTTCGAAATTTTGCATGTACTTCTGGTAGTTCTCGGTCCACATACTGCTGGAGCCTAGCTTGTAGGATTTTGAGCATAACTTTGCGAGCATGTGAAATGAGTGCAATGGTGCGGTAGTTTGAACATTCTTTGGCATTGCCCTTCTTTGGGATGGGAATGTAAACTGACTTTTTCCAATCCTGTGGCCACTGTTGAGTTTTCCAAATTTGCTGGCATATTGAGTGTAGCACTTTTACTGCATCGTCTTTTAGGATTTTGAATAGCTCAGCTGGAATACTGTCACCTCCACTAGCTTTGTTGTTGCTCAGACTTCCTAAGGCCCATTTGACTTCACATTCCAGGATGTCTGGCCATCGTGGTTATCAGGGATGTTAAGCTTTCTTGTATAGTTCCTCTGTGTAATCTTGCCACCTCTTCTTAATCTCTTCTGCCTCTGTTAGGTCCCAGCCATTTTGGTCCTTTATCGTGCCCATCTTTGCATGAAATGTTCCTATCTCCAGTTTTCTTGAAGAGATCTCTGGTCCTCCCTATTCTATTGTTTTCTTCTATTTCTTTGCACTTTTCATTTAAGAAGGCATTCTTATCTCTTCTAGCTATTCTCTGGAAATCTGCATTCAATTGGGTGTATCTTTCCTTTTCTCCTTTGCCTTTCGCTTCCCTTCTTTCCTCAGCTATTTGTAAAGCTTCCTCAGACAGCCATTTTGCTTTCTTGCGTTTCTTTTTCTTTGGGATGGTTTTAGTTGCTGCCTCTTGTACAATGTTGCGAACCTCCGTCCATAGTTCTTCAGGCACTCTATCAGATCTAATTCCTTAAATCTATTTGTCACCTCTACTATATATTCATCAGGGATATGATTTAGGTCATACCTGAGTGGCCTAGTGCTTTTCCCTACTTTCTTCAGTTTAAGCCTAAATTTTGCAACCAGAAGCTCATGATCAGAGCCACAGTCAGCTCCTGGTCTAGTTTCTACTGACTGTATAGAGCTTCTTCATCTTTGGCTGCAGAGCACGACTAGGATGACATAAAACGGTGAACCGATCATCGATATTAGGCTATAGGGCTTTCCATATGTCTCAGTAACAAAGGACGGTGATCTGGAATGCCTAACTTCCCAAGCATGCCATGCATTCTGAAACGAGATGCTCACAACATGCTCCGATTGCCAAGCATTGAGCTAGTCTGATCCGAGCCCCAGAAGTGAGTTGTGTGATACTAGATGAACAGAAAAAAACACTCTGTACATGCTCTAAGGCAGGGCTGTTTCTTCGGTTTTACGCTGCATCAGTCTTCCCCAACCTAGTGCCTTTCATATGTGTCGGACTCGGGCTGCAGCTCCCATCATTCCCAAGCACTAACATGAGTGGCTGAGAATGACGGGATTTGTAGTCCAACACATCTGGAAGGCGCCTGGTTGGGGAAGGCTGCCCTAGCCTCTTAGGAGGGCGAGGGCTGAACCTAAGAATTAAGGTAGGAAAAACAGATGGGCTGCGGGGCGGGGGCCTGACGGAAAGAATAAAGCCTTCCCTACCGCCCTGCTCTCGTACTGCTCGGCTGAAGGCCCCCTCGCCATCGTGCTGCTTCTTGTCCCTCGGTCGGCCAGGCGAGCGCCTCGGCGCTGAGGGCGGAGAGACCCGGAGTAGGAAGGAGGACGGGAGGGAAGAAGCTGCCGGCGGGCGGGCAGGGCCTGGAGCTCCTCCCCGCTTCAGTCAGCGGGACCTCCGGCCGGAGAGTTCCGCCTTTCCCTCCTCCCTTTCCCGGTTGCCGCCGCCTGCCTGGGTCGCTCCTGTGGCGGCGGCAACAGCAAGCAGCATGGCGGCCGTGGAGCCCCGAGTGTGCGAGACGGCGGGGTGCAGCAGCGAGGCCAAGCTGCAGTGCCCGACCTGCATCAAGCTGGGCATCCAGGGCTCCTATTTCTGCTCGCAGGTAAGCCCCGCTGTCGCCGAGGCGCCCTTTAGCCTTCTGCTCCGTTGTTCGGGAGCCTCCAAGCAGGCGCTCATTGCGCCTTTGGGCTGTATTCCCCGTCACTATCGTGCTCAGAAAAGTCGCTGCCCGCCTTTCTGGCCCCCTTTCTACTCCCTGGGCAGCCCTTGTGGGGTATTTCAGTCTTGTTTTTGCAATAGCTCCAAGGCTTTCTTGGCGACGCCTGCTGCCCCCACCAGGCAGGTGTGACTCAGGGCGTGCGAGGGTTGCTGAGGCTGGGCCTGCCCTCTTGCAGTTTGAGCACGTTTTACTCGGAAGAAAGTTCCATGCCGCTCGAAGGGACTTACTTCCAAGTCGATTTTGCAACCTCCCCACACACCCCAGAAGCGCACCCAAGTAAGGCCCTCTGTCTCCAAGTTTGCCTCTCTTTATCGCCTCTTGCGTGCTTTTTCCCCGTGATAATATACTAAAGCGACAGAACATCTCTTTCCCCTTCTTTTTCCTTTTTATAGCTTCCTTTAGCTCAAGTAATTCCTTTTGTTATGACGCTGGGATTTTTTAAAAAATGAATGGTATTGCAAAGTGAAAAAGAGTGTACTTAGGCTTGCATCACTGTTCTGAAAAAAATTGAAGCTTAGTTACTACTGCTCTGGACTGGTACTACAAGCAGGCCACAGAAATGCTGAAGCCGTCCTCCTTTTGTGTGTCTGGCATTCTGTGTTTCCAGGCGCAACAGCTGTTTTATCTTTCTGTTTCAGCTCTGTCATCAAGATTTGCAGGACATTTTCAGAGAAAGGGGTTGGGCATGGCTGTGCTTTTGCATCTATCCACAAGTAATTGTTTTGGTACTTCTTAGTTTAATACAGAGTAGATTTTGCCAGAGTCTTTCCTCTCAAAAGCAGTCTAGTGAATTCTGTTTTGAAGGTACTGTTTGTTCAGGACAGGTTTCTGCTCATTAAGTTGGTAAGAGCCAGGCTTCAATTTGGAATGATTTTAATTTTTGTTGCTTCAGCTGGTCCTGGAATAGTCATAATCAAGAGCAATTCTGAGGATGTGTGGAGTACATAACCTTCATCAGTCAGTGGCTACAGATTCTCCTCTCCCAGTAGATTTTGTTTTCAGTCAAGCTTGAACTGTGGCAGCTTTTTTTCTCTTTAGAAATTAACCTATTTATTATATTTAAATGCCACCTTTTTTCTTTTCAAGGAACTGAAGGCAGCTTACATAATTCTCCTCTTCTCAATCTTATCCCCACAACAACAACCCTGTGAGGAAGGTTGGGCTGAGAGGCTATAACTGGCCCAAAGTCACCCAGTTAGATCCATGGCTGACTGAGGACTAGAACTCGGATCTCCTGAGTTTCCATTTTACACTCAAAACTATTACATCCCACTGTCTTTCCCATGTATCTCTCATACCACGTATAGGGAAAAAACACTGTACTTGCCATTTCTCTTATAGGAGGGTTTGTATGTTTGTCTTCTCTTCAAATGATTTGAGCAGAAGCTCTCAACTAATGTTCCAAAATGGCGTAATGCATTGTGAGATATTAACTGTTGGGTTTTATACTTGCTTATTTATAATGTGTTATATAGATCTGTTACTTAGAAGGTCTGACACAGCTGTCCCCTTGGTTACTTTCATACAGCTTTTAGTTCCTTTAAGGAAAATGTCCTGGAAATAACATAAAATGGGCTAGTAGCCCACTGTCTGCAGACTATAATGTGGGAGTTTCAGGAATCCAGGGATAATTATTGCAATAATAGTTTTTGTCTTAAAGAAATGTAGAATGCATGGACTTCAGACTGCAAGAATATGAAATTTTCATTGTTTTTAAGTGCTAGAAAATGCAAGGTTATAAAATCTCAGAATGTTGTTGTGCCTTTTACTGTGTGTGGGTGTGTGTAATTACAAGTATACCAGGAGGTGATACAAAACAGTATTTAGAAAGATAAATACTTGAGCCTTGGAGGCATAAGCTAACTGCTTCATTTCTGGGGTTGTAAATGTATTGGGATTGTTTTCAACTATCACTAGGTATTCATATCCCAGCATGGCATTATCCTTGAATCAAAAGAGTTTTTAAAAAACAAGTTCTATGACCTGGTGTTGATATACCTGTTTCTCAGGCTTCAAAAATTTCTAAGTGATCAACAAAACAGCATCTGCTTGCAGTTAGCTATGGTACTTCAAACAGGTGATAGGCTCACTATCTTTAACATAGATTCCTTTGTGGGGGGGTGATTAGAATGCTGGAATAGGGGCCTAGAGTTCTAGTTCCCACTTGGTCATGAAGGTCACTGAAATACTTTGGGCCAGTCACTCCCAGCCTAACCTATCTCTCAGCCTAACCAGCCTAACCTGAGGACAAAAATGAACGGAGAATTATGTAAGCTGCCTTGAGTTCTTTGCAAGAGAAAATAAGGTGGGAATTAAATGCAATATAAGAATGATAAACCTGTTGAATAAAAATCTAAAAATCTGCATCAGGAAACAAAATTGAAACATTATAATTTATAGGGTTAAAATATCTTCCCATCCAACCCTTAGCCAAGGGAAGACAATCTGAACTACAACTTGTATAAGCCCCAGTTAACTTGAAATTGTATTTTTGTGTAGTGGAGAGGGTATGGGTGTGACCAAAACATGAGTGCACACCATTTATAGTTCCAAGGGCTACATGCAGTGGTAAAGTCAGGCTGCATATCTGGTCAGAGTGCGGACATATTACACATGTGCACAAACACATCCCAGTAGCCCCGTATTGTTTCCTCACTACTAGCAACTGCAGGGAAACAGTGATCAGTATGAAGATTGCTAAGGGAAGGACTGGAGTGTCTTCATTCCATCCATTGCTCTTTCCAAAGTGTGATCCTTATCAGGTTCACTGTGAGAGGAAATATGGTGGTCAGAGCACACTTTGGGAACTGTATTAAGACCTTTGGGGGAAAAGATGCAAGGTATCCTATACTGGAACTGAAACATGGAACATTTTGTGTAAGAAACAAAGAAAGCTTTTACTAATTTTTACTGCAGTTGACCTTAAAGTTAAATGCTTTGTTTAAACATTGCATTCAAAGCTGGCTGGGCTGCTACATGTACATGAAAATAGATGCTTGCTTGGTTTTGAGGGAGATTAAAATGAGCAAAAAAAAATAGCCTGTGACTATCATACACCTTGATTCTAAGAGCCTTCACTTTGAATTGATTGAGTTATTGGGTTTCATTTGAGTGTGCTTCTGAGTAAGTCTGCCCAGGGCCACAGGATTAGACTGGGCTTTTGCCTGATTTCAAAAGTTACCAGTAGCCTGATGGTTTACATTAAGAAGCCAGTGCAGGAAGCAGAAGGCAGCAATTCCTTCTTTTAATCAGTAGGGACTTGGCATCCTTGAACTAAAAAGTAGTTGGAGTATCTTCCTGTATCTTAAATCTGCTGCCTTTCTTATAGGCTACAAAAATAGGCTTAGTTCCACTATAAAATGTTTGAACGATGGTGGCAAAACAGTCATATTTTCTCATAATATAATTACTTAGAGAAATATGTTTGCATGATTCTGAGATCTGAACACGTGTTCACAAGGGGTGAAATAGCGGTGGACAGTGTAAGCATATAAAAAACCAGATTGCCCACTTGATGTTAATGCTAGAATTTACTGTTGTGTATGTTCCAGGATCAGGTGAGTCTCTGAAATGAGAAGATTGTGCAAAATTGGGGAATTTTGGTGGAGTTGGCAGTGGCAGGATCTCCACACTATGATCTTACCTACTTTTTAAGCTATATGGAAATTACTGTATTTTGCGCTCTATAAGACGCACTTTTTCCCCCCTCAAAAGTAAGGGGAAATGTCTGTGCATTTTATAGAGCGAATATGTGTGTGCAGTAAGTCTGTCAGATGTTCAGCCCATGGGGAAATGTGCCTGTGATTATGTGCTCATTTGATTCAGAATATTTTTTTTCTTGTTTTCCTCCTCCAAAAACTAGGTGTGTCTTGTGGTCAGGCGTGTCTTATAGAGCGAAACATACGGTATTACACAAAGGGAGATGTGTTAATGTAGAATGTAGATATGAATGTTATTGCCTTTGCCACTGAGAGCCTATGGTTGAGTTGTAAAACACTTGGATTGCATGCAGAAGGCCCCTGGTATTTCCAGATGGGGCTATGAAAATCCTGCTGGAAATCCTAGAGAGCTGCCACTGGCCAGTGTTAATGGTACCAGTGATTTGACTCCATGTAAGTCAGCTACCAATTATCCTGTGATCCTTATGTCATGAAGCTATTCCTCAATCCCGAGTGCCCTGCTGTGCAGTTTAAAAATGCATTTACCCACACTTCATGCATTTACTGTCTGTGCAACTTGAGCAAATTGTATTGCCATGTAAAATATGAAGTGGCTACATGACTTCAGATCTAAACACAGACCCTTTATATAAGCTATATAACTTGTGGTTTCATTCTTTAATTAGATAATTATCTACTTAGATTCTTTTGCTGTGGCTGTTTTACAGCCATATTGGTGTTAAAGTACTAATTACAATTAGCTTATTTACATGTTAGTGTTTTTGTTATGCTGCTGCTACTTCTATGGCTATTGGGTAATATCATCAATAGAAAAAAATATCCAATTAACATAAGCAGGTTTTAACTGAATTAGGGTGTGGATAATGAACCTTTTCTACAATGTTATGTACCTGCAAAACTACTTTATCTCTGTAAATTTAAATCTGTTGCAAAACATATTTGACTTTATACCATTTTCTTTTTTAAGGAATGTTTCAAGGGAAGCTGGGCTACTCATAAGTTGCTACATAAGAAAGCAAGTAAGCAAATAATTTCTTCTACTTTTCTCTATCTGGTGTTGGCTAGATATTGAATTTTATTTCTGGCAATGTCAGGCCAGTGTGAATAAAGATGTTACTATATTAGGCAATCCTTTCCAAATCCATGGTAATTCTGACATGATGTAGTAAACCTGAGTTTGGTCTCTACCACTTACACTACAGTTTAGGCTTGCATGTGACTGAATGTGCCTTCATATAAACACATTCCTTCCAGAACAAAACCTGAATGTCACAAAGAAGGATTCTAGCTAGCTTGAGTTTCTCACCTGTCATATTCATTTTCTAAGTGTAGAAAGTTTTTGTACTGGAGGATTATTCAGTCACATGGGAATCCACATCTGCAGACTGATGTGAAATAGCCAGAACATGGATTTGATGCTTTAGTCCCTTCTCTAAAATAGTTATGTTGGTTTTCAAAGATAATGACTAGCAGCTACATCTTTTCCCCCACCCACTGCCTTTTTACTCTAGAACAGGGGTCTCAAACTCAACTTACCTGGGGGCAGTCTGGGTGAGGCTGGACTGCATCAAGTATTCCACCACCGTGGTGGTGGTGGGCCGCTCATCCCGCGTCACTCCCGGAGGCCGGCCCGGGCGCCGCCCGCGCTTTGAAGGCCGCAGGGCCCCTCTGCCGTGCCCCACCCGTCCATTGGCCCGTGGGCCGCGAGTTTGAGACCCCTGCTCTAGAACACCCCAATGTGGTGCCCTGCAGATGTGTTGGATTGCAAGTTATATCATTCCCATGGGCATGCCTGAAAGCAGGTTGGGGAAAGTTACTCTAGGGTAACCACAAGGTCCTGATGCAGACTGGGCTCGAGTAGAGGAATTTTAATCCTTTCCTTTTTTTGGAGTCATGGGTTCTGTATACCTGCAATTTATATTGCCAGATGGTGACCCATGAAACAATTGAATCGCTATTTGGCAGTATACCTTGCAAACACAGTCCCCCAAACCAAATCAGGACTGCAAGGAGGAGATATGGTTAAATCTCCCATCTCTCCCACACCAGTGTCTTGATCCACATTGGAAACCCTAATGAGCCTAGAGTGAAAAGAAGTAAATGGTATAACTAAGTGCTCTGGGTGTTCTTCAGAAGTACGTGTAATACAATTTCTACGTGTGTGTGTGTGTGTGTGTGTACACATGCAAGACTTTGGACTTTTGTCTCTTAAACAGCTACTCTCCTGCATCAGGAGCTGCTTCTAAATACTTGACATTAGACACAATGCCCAATGTAGTGCTGAGAGATTCATGTATGTGTATGCTTTAAAGACCAAAAGGTTAAAGGCACAGAAGCACTGACAGAAACCAAAGACTTCCAAAAATTGGTTGAATTGCTCCTATTGGAGATGGAAGTTGGCAGTAGAGGATTTGATTTTGGTTTTAGTTCTGACTTCACTTGACTCCCTGTTTTACAATCTAGGCTAAGTTGTATATGTCTACCATATTAGAATCCATTTCTAGTCAGAATCTTTCAAGAAAACAGCATAGGTGGGATCAGATTTGAATTTAACACAAAAATGGACATAAGGAATTATATAGTCTATAGAAGAGAGGAAGACAAGTCAGATCTAGATAAATATATAACCTGCTTTTTGATACGTATGGCTGGTTATCACAATAGCATTATTTTGTAATTTTGTATTTATTTGTTATAGTTATATTCTGCCTTTTTCTTTCAAGGAACTCAAGGCACCTTACATAACTGTCCTGCTTTTGTTTTGCAGAAGATGAGAAAGCTAAGCGGGAAGTTTCTGCCTGGACTGTAGATGGTGACATTAACACAGAACCTTGGGCTGGCTATCGATATACTGGTAAACTGAGGCCACATTATCCATTGGTAAGTAGCTGATATAAGTGAAGTAATGTCCTTCAGTGGTCATGCAATAGCAAAGAAAGCTGTACAGGGTTCGATCTTCTGCATCTCAATTAGGGGAAATGATAGTTTATTTATATTTATTGTCTGCTTTTTTCCTTTCAAGAAATTCAAGGCAGCTTGTATAATTCTCTTCCTCTCAGTCTTTTCCCCACAACAACATCCTTGTGAGGTAGGTTGGGCTGAGAGTCTGTGACTGGCCCAAAGTCACCCAATTAGCTCCATGGCTAAGCAGAGACTAGAACCCAGTTCTCCTGAGTCTCAGCCCTGCACTCTGAGCCACTACATCACATTATAATTTGTAAGATACTTGCACAGTAGAACATTTCTAGTTAAGGAATTCTTGGACAATGTACAAGTATTTATTTATTGTAGAAAAACTAGCCAACATGATTTGCAAGGTAGTATTAGAATGTAAATTCTGTTGAAGGCAAGGAAGTAAAAGGAAATGTCTTTGACTTGGATAGTCAGTAATTTAATAGATTTAATAATAAATTCCATTTCTTAACTCACAAGTACTTTTCACCCTAGAAAGGAATAACGTGCATCAGTAAGAGAAAGTTGATGTGACCAAATAAGAGGATAGTATCCAGTGTTGTCAGACTCAATAGAAAACAAGTCTTTCCTAGATCCCACCCCCACCCCCCACAGCTGAAATACTGATTTTGGAATAGGAGAGGGGCAGCAGAGTTCCCTTCCAGTCTGGAAGCAAATGTGCTAGCTAATTTTCAGTTGTTTTAGGAAGTGCTGGCCTCCTGTTGTGCTGGAGGTGGGATACTATCCAGATATTGCAACAGCAGTTGGGCCCCTAATACAGCGCTCCTCAAAGTGTCCTGTGGGATTTGGTATATGTAGCTGATGCATATGTCAGAAGATGAGAAATGGATTCAAAGTGTGGAAGTAGAGTCACACAACTATTACTGTAGATTTGGCAAACTTGCTGAAAGTATAATGGGAGATATAGCTCAAATGGTACCTCAGTCTTTCAAGAAATACTTGATTATAACGAGTCATCCTTGCTGTGAAATAGATATATAAAGAAACACAGCACTAGCAATTGTGCATTTCCTCAAAGTGGTGTCATCCTGTGACATTTTTTTACTCAGCAATAAACGGGAAAAGAATTGAGTATTAACTTGAGACGCAACATCAGACTAAGTCTGCTTTGATCATAGTTTAGAATTCAATCAGAATTTGGTATCCCCAAACCATGATGTAGGGCTGATTGTTATCTGGTTCTATCTTTCCTCTGCTCAGCCAGCCATGAACTAGAGTTGTTGCCTGCGTCTTGTGTCTGCTCAGCATTCCTGTTTCTATGGTGCTGAGCCCTCTGGAGACAGAGCTGTAACTATGGCTCGTCAAACCCGAGTTGGCATAAAGCATCCTTCCTCTGTTTGGTGCCTGTCAGATGTTTTAGACTAGAATTCCCAGAATTCCTGACCATTGACCTTGCGGGATGGGGCTAAAGGGAGTTCACAAGTTCTGCAGAGTACCAGGTTGGGGAAGGCTGACAAAAAGTGTGCAGACCCATTTCAAATCTTATTTCCTGTTTCTGGTTTGTCTATTCTTGCCTCACTTGACACCATCACCTCTTTTTAAAGGCACAGAAAGCTACACTAGAGCAAGTCAATCTACTTGCCCATCTAGTCTAGCACTGTCTACTTTGACTTCAGAAATTCTTCAGGTCTCAGGCAGAAAAGGGCCTTTCACATCACTACTCAACCCATCTCTCTGTTTCTTTTCTTTTTTTAAAGAGGAGATGCCATTAATTAAACCTGGGACTTTCTGCAAGGAAAATGTAAACTCTGCCATTTTTCTTAACTGTAGTTTAGCATGATGCCTGAATAAATCAGTATACTATCATGGTATGGAATTGTCCATAAATGGAATAAGACTGAGACAAACATTATTAGTCATGGGGAAATAAGAATTCCTATCCTTGAAGGACAATTTAGTCTTTTTTAGTATGAAAGGTTGCGGTCTTGGATGCTCTTGGAACCATAACTTGTCAGGACACAAAGCTGTAACCATGGATTTTTGAACCTTTCACTGTGTCACATCATCAGATGCGATTACCTCTGTTAGTTGCAGAATTGGTCACTGTCATTCATACCTTTGCAATCAGTCTCTCTCTCCTTAAATTTACCTGCTTTATATAGCACTTCCTGTGACCATTCAGAAACTTTAGTTTGTGCTGAATGCTGCAGCCTATTTCACTAGAAGAGTTTCTAGAAGCATTGTAATACTGGTACGACATAGACTCCACTGCAATTTTAGTGCAGTGTTCTGAGCACAATTCAGCATGCCAGATAGACCTGTAAAACCATTAACATGTGAAATCACATGCCTTCTTTTGATCCCAGCACAACCTTCGGAATCATTGAAGAATACTGTCTTGCTCATGACATGCACATTCAGATTTCAAGGATGCATACAGTTCTTGGTAGCTATCTGACAATAGTGGACCTCTTTACCATGAAGATTTATTACAGTCCAAACCTAGGTGTCTTAAGCTGCTATCCTGTAGTCTTCTGACATCATCGGGGAGGTGAAAGGATTATTCAGAGTTTCAACTCAGTGATCCTGTGATCTTGGAACTGGAACTCTGAAGGCCAAGTCCATGACTGCCTTGAGAGGTGGTAGGTCCTCCACTGAATGTAGGTAGACTGAGGCAGTCGTTACCAGGATTGGTTGAGCTACATGCTGTATCACTGAGCCTGCATTGAGCTGCAGGTTGGACTAGATGACCTCCAAAGAATCTCCCAACCTTGTGACTTTTGAGCATCATTTGTTCATACTTATATTTGAGCATATTTCTGATAGCTAGGGCCTGAGAACATCATACTTTCACTAGATTTGAATGGACCACTTTTATCTACCCTTCAGAAAGGATAGTCTAGAAGCATAGAAATGTTCCAATAGTAAGCAAACTTTAACTTCCTTTTTATTTTTTAATATTTTTTAAAATGAGTATCATAATATTTTTGTTTTAATATTGTAAATAAATAAATATACAATCTGTGCTTTCTTTAGATGCCAACAAGACCTGTGCCGAGTTATATTCAAAGGCCAGATTATGCTGATCATCCTCTAGGTAATTCCAGACATAACTTAATGTTATTTATTTATATACCAATTTTCAGTTGGTAAACTTGTGTTTTATTAGGCTGTATTAATTATTTTGTTTCTTTGTGGATTCATTTTGGATGAAACTATCAAATTGTTGTGTAAAGCAGCATTAAATAACACATGAATCATAGTAGCAAAATCTTGCATTGACTGTAGCACTCCATTACAAGGGTAGCCTTCCAAATGTTTTGACTTACAGTGCCCCTCACCTCCAGTCAAAATAGCTAATAGGAAGGGACTGAGGGAATTGTAGCCTATTGGAGGGCCACAAGTTGACCACCTCTGCTCTGGTAACAGATTTCCAGGGCAGGGCAGAGGTTCATCATGCTATTTCAGCCACAGTCTTACCAGAGAACTGCCAGGACTCCTGTTTTGGGGGGCCAAACTGATCATTTTTCTGAGCAGAGTCATGTATGATTGGGTTATTTACTTTTAGTGTAAGTGCATACAGCCTTGATTCGTACTGGAACTATGGTGCTCTGAGATTTTTAAAAAGCTTTCAGCCTCTCATTTTTGTTCCAAAATTAAACACATGGTAAAGGTAGGGTAGAAATGATTATTCAATTGATGGTCAGAATTCACCAAAGTTTCACTTAGATTTTTTGCACTTTGCCTTGAAATCTAAATATGACAAGAGAGTACACAGAGCCTGAGAGAATAATCTTTTGTTTTTGCTTTCCCCCTGCAGTTTGTTCTCTCATAAGCCTGTGTTATGCTTTTCTGTCCAGCTCAATTGCCAGACAACATTCTGTTTTTCAAGGCCAGATAGCAATGCTGCCATGCCCAGGGAGTGTTTTATTACGTCTTTAAAAAAGCAAAACAAAAAAATTTTAGTACTTCTGAAGCGAATGATTTCACATTATGTTAGCACAGGAAACACATATTTATATATAAATTTTATTTTAAATAGAAAATAATTGCCAGTGTTTCCCTTTAGGAATGTCTGAATCCGAACAGGCCCTTAAAGGAACTTCTCAAATAAAGATTCTTTCTTCAGATGATATAGAAGGGATGCGAGTAGTGTGTAGGGTAAGTCAATGCTGTGAACTGTTGAAAGTCTCAAAACTCTATGAGAGAATGTCTTTACGTGCTTGTATCTCAGTTTACTTAAAAACATGAATCATTCAAGGACAGTTGCACTGTAAACAGTGTCTGTTTTAATAAGTTATTTCTATTCTTTCTCTTTCAGCTTGCTAGAGAAGTATTAGATGTTGCTGCCATGATGGTGAAACCAGGTGTAACTACTGAAGAAATAGACCATGCTGTTCATCTAGTAAGAATACGCCACTGAGGTTCTGAATTTTTGTTGGTGCTATAACTTTTATGTCTAAATCTTGTATTGATTAATCCCTTTCTTAGGTGAACTTATTGTACAATTATGACTGCATATATAACATCTTAAAATAAGCTAACTGTAAGAATGCCGAAGTTTTCCGCTGGCATCTATTTCTCTCCTTCTAGTCTCTGAATTTCCCTGAATGTTCCTTGTCAAGTATTTAACTTCCCTCTTTGATAGCCATCCTACCCGCAGGACTTACTTTGTAAACAATGCTGGCAGGGCTTGGCAGTCCATTACACCACCACGTTATGCTGCCCCATGTACCATTCTGGCACATACCTGGGCACATTTGAAGAAGGCTTTCCCTCCCTTCTCCCCATGGCAAGAGTACAGGAATTGTTTTAGCATTGTTTCAGGGTTACATAAAATTAAGCTGGCCTGGAACTATGAGAAAATGTTGAAAAAACCATGCTTTTCATATAGTGCTTCATATAAATCCTTTAAATATAGTTATAAAATAGATTGGTATTATCTTTGTATTGAACATCTTAAACTAGTTTCTACTAAGTCACACTGCTTCTCCATCTAGCTTAGGATGTATTTCGTCCAGTCCTATATATCTAATATGTTTATAAGTAATGTATCCAAGAATACATCTGTGATCTCAAGAAAATGATCTTCCCTTGGCTGACAGGCACTAGTGTAATGAAGTGGGATTAAGGGACTAAGGCATGAACTAGGAAATCCCTGATCCAGGTCCCCACTGCCATAAATTCCTGGCATGTTTAGGCAAGTAATTTAGCTCTCAGTGATTTAAAGCATTTCTTGAGACTATTCTTCTAACTATTTTGGTATAATACAGATATCTCAAATTATTTTTCAGGCGTGTATTGCCAGAAATTGCTATCCTTCCCCGCTGAATTATTATAATTTCCCCAAGTCTTGCTGTACGTCAGTAAATGAAGTAATCTGCCACGGAATTCCAGACAGGCGGCGCTTACAAGAGGGTGATATTGTTAATGGTAGGAAAAACAATTTTAGTATCTTTGTAAACCCATGGTTATACTTGGAAGAATACTCCCATTTGATAAGACTTTTTAGAATGGCACTTGAGCTTCATGGATATATAGAAATATCAGTTGGCCCTCAATGTTCTTCAATATTTTACTGGGGAACCCCCATTGGACTTTAAGGCTAACATTTATACAAAATTCAGCTAGTTATGTATAAATTACAATTTTAAATTGTTTATTTTTAAAAATGTTATGGATATTTTTCAAAAAATTGTCAAAGTTCTGTTTGGTGTGGACATTCCAGCAGGCCCCTCTGGAGGAAGTTTTTTGCCTCTTCAAATTTGATTCATCTAACCTATGTGACATAGCAAATTGTTGAGAATACTCTTGCTTCTCCATATCCCTTAGGTGTCTAGTTGGCTACTGTGGAAAACAGGGTACTGGACTAGACACACTATTGGTTTGATCCAGCAGAGCTTTTCTTATGTGCCTAACAAGACTGTAACAAGATGAGGGAATTTGCAAACTTGGTTTATTAGGGTCATGTAAATAATTTGTTTCCTGCAGGAAAGTAGTTGGATAACTGACTTAAGACTGATTTAAAGAGAACGATCCATAAAGTACCCAAGTACACACCTCTTATGCTAAAAGAAGTGTTGTTTGTGGGCTGCTGGAATCCAGAGAATCTCACAATCAGTTCCACACATGCCTTACATAGCTTTGGATGTGTGTGTTTGTGTGTGTGTTTTAATCTCACATAGAGAATTTTTCTTGAAATTTAGTGAATGCCGCAAAGCACATGGTGGTATTGGTTTGAATTGTGTTAGATACAGATTGTTAGCTTTGCAGGGGCAGGGGTTGGGTATCAAAAGCCCCACTTGGTTCTCAGGTCTTTTACTTAAGGACTATTCAGAAAATTCTAAATTCTGTACATTTCTTGCAGTTGGAATAAATAAAGAAAAATATTATGGTCACTTTATTCTGGTGAAGCAAACCAAGTATGTAATATTGAAATAAGCTGTCACATTTTTGCAATCTCATTTGCCTGGGATTTCTCATTGACACTGTAAACATGCTGTGCCTACAGGCTCCTTGGCCCTCCCAATTTTTATTTCTTAACAGATTTTTATTAATTGTGTGCACGCATTTGTGTGCATGTTCAAAAGAGTAGCTTTGAAGCTGAACTGTACCTCTCCCTTGAACTTAGGGTCTTGAGCAAGTTACCATTTTTCAATCTTACCAGTTTGCCTTCAGGGAAAAATGAGTGTTCTGTAGGCAGCCATGTTATGTAAGGACAAAGCACCCCTATTCAACTCTCTCAAAATTACAAACATGTCTACCAGCCTAGAAGGGTTGGGGACCACTGGCATAAAGCCAAGTGGACATGTTTCTGAAAGTTACTATAAAGTAAGCCCAGTCCTAGGAAATGCTAGGTCAGCAGTGAATGGCTTATGGGAGATGAAAACAATTATTACAGCAATTAATAGAGTCACAAGCAGATGTACTATATTGTCTGTGTGTTCAGAAGCATTGATATTTGCTATGCCTGGTACAGTCATGCATCTATGCTGATGCTGGCACAGTGGTCTAAAAATGGTTGGAGAGAAAGTAAAAGTATGTGTATTCAGACATGCCCAGTGTATGTAAGCCTGAGAGCTCCTGACTTTGCAACAGTACATCTTTTCCCATTGAATTCTGCTGAAGTGTGAGCAAAATTTAATTCACTCACAATGATTCTCATTACATGTGAACCAGGTCACTGAGCTGGACCATTGGACTGTCTTACGCAGTACTGCAATGTAATCTGGCAGTGGCATACTAGGACACACAAATTGCAAACGGTAGCCAATTAAATCTACATTTGTCAAATCTCAGGAGTCTTTCACAGTCTTATTATCTGGTAATCCCTTCCCTCCCTTTTGGAAACTGGAGGCGGTAGGGATTGGACATAAGATACTTTGCACAAAAAGCAAGGGAAGTACCACTGCACTAGGATTTTCCTTCCCTCGTCTGCTGTCCCTATCCTTAACAGGGAGTATTGCTATTCATAGAGAGAACAGAAACAAAATCATCATGCTTGAATAGATCTAAAGATTAATAGTTCAAATAGACCTGCCTCAAAGTAAGACTCCTTCCACATTATTTCTCATAGTTCAGATATGTCACAAGTGAAACGTTGCTCTGAAAATTTAAGGTTTAATTGGCTACAATTTAGTATTCTTGCTTTACAGTGCACCCGGTCTTCTACAATATGACTTTATTATCCTATTACTATTACATCTTGGGATGACAGAAACCTACTAAGTTTTGTAGGTGTAACCATTTTAATACAGCTTTTCTTCTCTGTGCTGGCTGGCTTTATGGTTTATGCAACACTGGTTACTTGTTTCTTATGATACAAACTCAGAATGCGGGCAGTGCAGTATTTTTTCTTGTTCCTTACAGTGGACATTACTGTTTATCGTAATGGTTATCACGGGGATCTCAATGAGACATTTTACGTTGGAGAAGTTGATGAGGGTGCAAAGAGACTAGTCCAGACAACATATGAGTGCCTAATGCAAGCAATCGATGCAGGTGAGGGCTTGCTGGAACCCATGGTTTTCATGATTCACTTTTGTTCCATGTTGTATCCCTGGCATATTAATGACAGAATGCCAGATACTTTGGGCATTGTTCCCATTACAGAGCTTGTCTTAATCCAAGATAATGTATTGTGCTAATGTGCTGTGGAAACCTATGTTTACTCCATTCAGTGGTGTTGAAAGGCTCAGTTGGAGTGATTAATTACAACAAATACCTAGAATTGAACCTCGCTCTTGTGGAAGTCTCAGTTTAAAACTGACTAAACATCAAGTCTAGGATTTCTTGCTGGACAGGTGACAGCCACAATCTGCTTATCTTGCTAAATATGTGTCCTTGAACAATATTGGTGGGTGGCAAATGAACAGAGGTGTTTTGGAGGTATACTATGCTTAGTATGTGCTCCAGGCATGCAAAACTTTTTTTTAAATGTATGGGATGTATTTAAAATGTTCAAAAGATTTGTTTTTTGACAGTTGACTGCATCAAAATACATATGCTGAACTGATGGGCAGAATGTCATCCAGGAAATGTTTAGAATTTGCACGGGTGCCCTTTGTAAAAAATACAGGGTAATGCAGGGCAACTTTGTGAGCATGTGACTTTTCAATGGGATTAAACACTGTAACCTTTGTTCTGCAGATGACTAAAAACTACTTGTAGAATTGCTAGGCCTGTTTAATGACATGGTTGATCAGTGCTGGCTCCAGGATTTGAGGGTTCTCTTTGGCACAGCATCTTCAGTGGGACCACACAGTCTGGAGGATAAAGGGTATTCAGATTGAAAATCCTCTTCAGACACATCTAATTTTCTTAGATACCCTTTGCAAAGCAAAAATGGTCATACTGTTTGACAGCAGGCTCTCTGCTGGTCTTGGAATTCTGGCAAATGTGCAACCATTCCATCCTCTAGAACTGGTTTCAATGTGTCTTTCTGTTTATACAAATTTGAATACCTTTTTTTATCTTTTCTGGTCAAAAATTCTTTACTCCTCTCTGTGATGTCCTTTGTGGAATGGTATGTGTGTAGTTCTTGTTCTGAGTACAAATGCAAATTAAGACTTTTACCTTCATTAAGTAGATGATGATGTTATTTATGTGACTTAGTAAAATAATATATACTTAACCTTGCAGTAAAACCTGGTGTTCGGTATAGAGAGCTGGGAAATATTATACAGAAACATGCTCAAGCCAATGGATTTTCAGTAGTTCGGAGCTACTGTGGCCATGGGATTCATAAGCTTTTCCACACTGCTCCCAATGTGCCACATTATGCCAGTAAGTATCTGTTTTTCACAGAGTGCTTTAATTCTCAATAAGTAAGAATTAAATATGCCATGTGTTTTCCCCAACAAATGCAACTTACTTCCACATTCCGTCAGTTGTGAACATAAAGGGCCTTTTGTAAGAGTTGATTGAGATAGCAGATCCTGACACTAACCCGAAACCAGACTGGTGTGAAAACGAAAGTACATTTCTTTCCTTCACCATTACTCTGGGTGCACAACCAGTGTCAGCTTACATAAGTGAATTTTACAACCACACATGAACACTGCTTCTGGAGGGTCTCTGGACCCTACTGTCTCCACTGTGAAGGGCATCTAAGCTAACCATGCTGTGGTAGACCTCTGCCTGACACTGGAGAGCTGCTGCCAGTCAGTCAAAGTGACGGTGTAGGGATAGATGGACTGCCAAAGGATTAAAAGTCTGACTTGGAATACAGCAGCTACATTCATTTTAATCTGTAATTTATATGTACAGTGACATGCAGAAACCAGCTGATAAACCAAAGAAACAAACTACTTTTTTCCAACTTTATGGAAAAGGAATAATTTAACCAGTATCACTGTCATTCAAAATGGTGGGGATAAACTAATGAAATTACAAAAGTTTAAGTCTGACCAGGTTGATACCTGCCTTACCTGTTGAGAAAGGATATCCTACAAATAGGGCACCACTACTGAGAAATTCCTTCTACTAGTTGCTGCCTGCCTCCTTTCACATATCAGGGACACCTGGAGAAGAGCCTCTGATACCAATCTTAAACTTTGGGCTTGTCAGCAGCTGCATATGGGTGTATAAAATTCATTAATATCACAGATTTTTAAGCTGTGGTTTCATGAACTAAACATGAGTAGTCTCTGAACTCAAATGGACCAAGAAACCAGGACCTGAAAACAGTTTGAGATGGGTTTTAGACTGCAGCTTTTACTATCTGAGCTTTGTTTATATCTAGACTCCACAAAGCAATTGAGGCTCCATCACCAGATGCTTCTGCAGTATGGAGATGCAGTAGAGGTGACTTTACAAAGTAGAGTGCTGAACAGATGGAAAACAAAGCAGACAGGAACTGTAAACCATGGCTTCCTCACTGTACTTCTGGAAGCTCAGATTATTGTGTGGGTTCTAAACTGGTTGGCACAAACCATGATTTTGGTGCAATATGTGAAACCCATCTAAGACATCTCTAAGCTTTAAGTTTGCATGCAACTACCATTAAACTTTCCTTGCTCTGTGTTGTACTATGCTAAATTTCACCATTCCCTGCAAACTTATGCAGAGCTCTTGATAATTTTTATCCTACTTTCTTTTCAGAAAATAAGGCTGTTGGGGTAATGAAACCTGGCCATGCGTTTACAATAGAACCAATGATCTGTGAAGGTAATTATACAGTTAAGGATCTAAAGGATTCTGATTCCAAGCACTCCTTGAAATGAATTTCCCTGGCTCCTCTTGGGAACTATAATTGTGTGTTTCCTAATTCTCTGGATCACATATACTTTGTTGACTAAAACAGCGTATTTGCTACTAGAAAAAAATTAAACCTTACTGCAGAATCTCTTTGTCAGTCCTGTCTTTGAAATTGGCTTTCTGGGACTACATTACATGAACACTCAAGTATTGTATTCCAAGATGGTGTCTGTTTTATGCCAAAACCTCCTTGAGTTGTCTTATTTGAAATGTTACCAGTTTTCAGACAATATTTCCAGCACTGTCAAGTCTCATGTTCCAAACAAACTGGTGTTTACTTTTAAAAAATTTGGAGCAGTCTCTGCTTTTCCTAATTTTCTATCTAGACTGCAACTTAGTGTATTAACGTCTAGATTTCACAGCATCTTCAGCCATTGTGATAGATTTATTCTATCGTTATGTAATGTAGATTGCAGCTAAATGAAGGAGATATTCTCTGTTATCAGGTTATCTGGGAAGCAGCAGTTTGTGCCTCTCATTTAAAAACCTTTTCTTGCGTATTTTTATTAACCATTTAATTAAGTGTCCTGGCATATGTTTGATTCCTTTGATGTAGGTTTCTTGTTTGTCTTTTATACAAATTCTGGGTTATAAGAGTGATCGAGAACAAAGATGCAGAGGTGGGCTGTGGTAGCTGCATACATGAATGTAGCAGGGTAAAAAACATAGATGTGTTTTAAAGCTATGTAGGTGGTCCAGAAAGCTATGCCTCGTGTTATTCAGATAAGGAGGGAAGAAAAGAATTTGCATTAGTAATGCTTTCAGTCCCAATTATGTATTTTAAATTCTACAAACTTCTGTTCTTCAAGGTTTTACAGTAGATTATAATAATTAAACTTATAGAAGTCAAGCTTTAAAATCTGTCCTTGTGTTGTATACAACTAGGTGAAAACATGCCCAAATTATCGTATTAACTTCTGTCATACTCTGAAGTAAAACTGTCTGCAGAGGTACTTTGTCTTGGGAAACTCAATACAGGAGAAGGCTGCACTTGCATTCGGGAATTCCTTTTGGGTGGTGGGAAACAAGGGTGCTGATCCTGCTGGCTTCACCCCATGGGAGGAGGGAGAAAGGCAGCAAACATTAGCATGTGTGTGCCCTAATGATTTGCACAAAAACTGTATCAGCACCCCCACGTGAACAGAGAGATCCTCCCCGAGTATACATATGTGAAATAGGTATGTTTAGGTATTTGTTTTCAGATGTCTGGTTGAAAATAAAATGGTGCAATAGAACTGGATGTTTAGTTTATTCTTCCTCTTTCATCTTAAGATCGACGGGATGTTATTTGCCCTTGTATTCTTATCATATAACTCCAGTTGTAGTCTTAACTAGTTGAAGAATTCCAGTTTAATTTTTGCATGCAGAAAACAAATGTTTCCTGTGAATTTGATAAAGTCAGCACAAGGCATATTCCATTTTGTTAGTGACAGGGAAAAGAATTATATCAAAAAGATCCATATTGTGGTGACTCATATAGCTACTTGAACAGTAAAACAAGGGGCTAATATTTTATTTATTTATTTATTAAAACATTTCTATGCCGCCCCTTGCCGTAGCCTCGGGGCGGCTCACAACATGAATGAAATGACAAGTAGGTGCATGTGTATTAGGGGCACAATAAAGCTTTGCTTTTCCCTAGTGATAGCATCCAGAGAAGGAAAAGCCAGCTATACTCCAGCAAAACTTTCTATGGGACTTCCAAGAGATTTGCGGGGGGATTGTGGAGGAGTAAAGAATCCAGCAGGAAAAACCTTTAGTCAAAAAGTTTGTAGGGAAGACAAGTTGGATGGAGGCATGACAAATAGGTGTGTTGTGTTGCACGCAAGTAAAAAGCAGACAATGGTAGCATTAATACTTCTGTTTAAAATGAATTTCTGTAATAGGAATTATTTGCATTGTTTTTACTAGGTGGGTGGCAAGATGAAACCTGGCCTGATGGCTGGACAGCAGTGACACGAGACGGCAAGCGGTCTGCTCAGTTTGAACACACACTTCTGGTCACGGATACTGGGTGTGAGATCTTAACCCGGCGGCTGGATAGCATTCGCCCTCACTTCATGACCCAGTGCTAGTGTAGGCCAAGCTGAGAGGCCTGAACCAAGCATCTCCTGACTGTACTATGCATTTTTCTAAAGTACAGACTAAAGGTGGATTTTATCAGCAGTTTCCTTCTTGTTGACTGTAGGTAAGAGAGATGCAACTTTGCATTTATGTAACTTGGATGAGCCCTGGTGCAAAGGATTGAAAAGGAGAGAGGTTTTAGAGCACTTTCTCTACTTTCTGCACTCCAACACTGTCTGAATCTCTTAAAATGTCTGTTGCCCTCCCAAGTGGGCACCAGATGGTTTCCTTACTACTAGAGTTATCAGCAGACACATTTTCACAGTGGAGGCAAGGCTTTGAGAAACAAAGCTTTTCTGCTTTTACAAGTGTTTGCCTGAGCTTTTAAATTTTTCTTGTTCCAAAGGCAATCCTTGCTTAGTTATTACTGAAAAGACAGTTTTAGTGGGATATAGGCTTTCCTCTGTTTGTAATTCAGAGGTGCAATTAGGTACTGGAAGGTGTTACCTAGTATGTCTACCTTCAGAGTTTTGTTCTGTTTGTCCTTCTGCTTGCCTCTGTTACATAATTGTACTTGAAAGTATAATAACCACCTAAACTGCTGGGCCTGATTCTCTTTGGCTGACAAATTGGTATTGGTGGTTCTTTGTCTAGAGAGAGACAAGCAATTACTGAGATTCTGCCTTCTTCAGACTTTTACCAAATGCAGCCAATGATGTCCAAAGAGTTCAATTGGAGAAACTTTTATTTTATTTTAAAATTGAAATGGGCAGCAAGATTGAAATATGGAGACTTCTGCCATATATTTGCATGTTCTTCTGCAGGGCATGTTCCAAAGACACAAGGGTGATCTTCATAGCCCATTTAAGCTTCTTTGCAATCTATGGTAGTTTTGTTTGTGCCTACGTCACCACACCCAAACAACTGTCTATCCTGAGGACCTCTTAGAATCAACATGGTTTCACCATGACACTGCGAGTATTTTAAAATCTGTGGCATGCTACTGTCAGGAGCCAAATGCTCTTTCTTGATTGCCACTTCGTTATGTATACCTCTAGTCTATAATGATCCCAAATATCTTCATTACATAATGGAGAAGCCTTTAACTAATGGTTCTGGAATTGGGCCACAGACAAGAAAACAAGATACTGCAGCATGTTTCATGATGTAGCCATAACATGGGTTTGTTTGCTGGAAAAAAAATTCTTGGGCACTTGAGGAAAAGGTGAAATGTTCTAGCTAGCCTCTATGTCTATCAGAAGCAAATAGTTTTGAGCAGAGATAACACACTTCAAAGAACAAGAATTGGGACACCCCTAGAATTTGCTAGATTTATCCAAAAGGTCCTTACATGAGGGTAATGGTGCAGTTCCACCCCCACTCCCATTTTCCTCAACTTTGTAATACAGATTTGAAATATACTACTGCTTTTGAGGTCAGGCAATAATTTGTTTTGTTGGATTATGGCTATCTTAGCCCTGCCTTCCCTAGTGGATTTTTTTTTCTGACCACATGTTCAGGTCTGGTGCCTACTTTACTCTCGCAATGTTGGAGTGCAGAAATGGTAAACTAGTGAAGATAATTAATAAAATCATGGACATAATGTGCACATTTCTGCTCCATGTCTACTATCTTGCCTAGCAACTGCAAGGTGCTTAAAAGTCCTCAACTCCTGTCAACAGGAACAGTGTATGGCGTCATCATTTCTTCGGATTCTAGGGCAGTTGTGACTTTAAAAAAAATGGAAGGAAATGTCTCTCTCCCAGCGTGCCTCGTTTTTGCTGAAAGTGTATTATTGGGATAACATTGTCATTCTGTAATGTGTTTAGAGGCAGTGAAATGATCCAAAAATGTTGTAAGCACTTGTGTGCATGGGCAGAGATTTTTTTTAACATAACCAGCTACAATATCTGAGTGGAGTTAACTGATGTATGCAATACATTGAGATTAAAAGTCTGGATGGTTAAACTTGTCTGGAATATTCTTTGGTACTTTGAACCATACCTGTTTTTCTCCAGCTAGAATCCTAAGGCCCTCTAATTGAAGATGGAAGGGCGGTATGGTGAGGAACTCATTACTGCATGTATAAATGGAAAATTAGATCAGACTTACTATAGAGCAGGGATTTTAACACACAATTCTCAAAGTAGCCAACAGACCATAACCAATTAATACTCCTATTTTACAGCTACAGCCTATCAATATTTAAGGCAGATTTGCACAACATAACTGATTTAACCTATTTTGGTCTGTCATGTCATTTCTGCATGCAACATTGTGTTTTTGAAAACCAAACAGCCACCTGTTTTATGTTTTTCAGTACCGCCAATGCTAGGGTACCAAGGCTAGAACCACAGAGGTGCTTGGCAAGAGTGGCCCATTGCTGCTCTTGCCAAGCAGCTCATCAGAAAGCACCACAAACAGCTGCCGTTCAGCACAACTGTCGGGGGCATTCCTGCTCTTCCAGTCCTAAAGCTCTTTGAGGCAGGAGGGAATGATCAGCTGGACAGTGCTTGAGGAGTGCTGCTCAGCTGATTCCCCTGCTGCTCCTACACGAACAGGAGTATTTGCTGGGTGGTGGTGCCTGGCTGGGGACTGAGCACCACAGGGTGCCACCCACTTCTTGCTTGGGCAGCAGGATGCAAAGCAAGTGGGCAGTAGCAACAGCTCTGGGTTGGAGATGCCTCTCTGTAGAACAAGGAAGGAGGGACATGCTGCAGGGCCATCTAAAACATCAACAGATTTAATACGGCTCCCTAGGTTGCAGTAAGGGCACAGCTTTTCCATTATATTACATATTTATATGCTGCCTACAACTGCCAAAGGCCTTCCTAGGCAGCTTGCAACTAATATTCACAGGATCCTGGTATGAGTTAACACACATAACCTTAATAAAAAGGTGACAAAACACAACTGTACAATTCTACATACAAAAAAGGCTTTAATGATGATCTTCTGCTAGGCAGCTTTTTGTTGTTACTTTCCAGCATGAATTTTAGGGAGAAAAAGATCCATTGATTTTATGTAAGTTTAATCTACAATTAGAAATACCTGGCATTTCCTGGCACTGTAAGGCAAAGAGTAGGTCTTTTTTAAATCAGCAGCAGTGTTACAGAGTGAGATCAGCACTTTATTTCTACACTGTCAGAGCAGGTGCATTTTCCAACTTGATTCTAACTAAAGCTTTCCTTAGACACTATTCTCCTACTGAGTGCATGTGGAAAAATTATGCACTGATTTACTGGTACAGTGGCAAGAGTTTGTTCTTCAATCTTCTTAAAGCTTTAAGACACTTCGGATACTACAAAATGGAAAGAAAAATCTCCAGTGGTTAATATGAATTGGCACAGTCTTCAAACAGAATTGATCTTATCTCAAAACAAAACCCAGCACATTAAACTAAGGTGATAATATACTGTACAGAAACTTCTGTTCAAATTCCCACACATTCCCAATGACTGTTGGGTCACTGGCTCAGCCACTCTAATGATACATCAAAGAAATGTTTTGAGAATAATACAGGCTTAGATGCCCAGGCCTGAATTCCTTTGAGAAAGCACCTGATACTTTACGAAAAAAAATCCCCAGCAACAGTTGCTTTTACAATACACTGCAACCACTCAAAAACTCCACAAATTGCTAACTAAGGCTGTACCCCTGTGGTCTTTGGAGTGGAATCCCAGGCACTATAGTTAGTAGTTTTCCCTCTCCACAGTGAGCAAGATCCATTGTGTGGAAAAAGCAAAAGGGACATTACAACCTCCTTGCTGGGGGAGGGTTGGATGTGCCAAAATCCCCTCCTTCCCAAGAAGAATATAGCAGCACTTGAACTGATTAACCAATTTTCTCTTCCACTACAATCAATGGAAAGGGAGACACAATACAGAGCAGCAAAAGGTGACAGAGAGGAAAAAATCTAGGCCATCACATCTTTTGCTTTGCCAGTGCGAGTCCAGCAGAGCACTGATAATTTCTTGGCATAGAAATGTTATAATAATAATAATAATAATAATAATAATAATAATAATAATAATAACCTCCAGGAGAGACCTCTGCCCAGCTGCAATCCCATACGTATGCAAATAAAACTAATCTTAATCTTCAGATTATGAGCAATACAGTAAGCCCTGCTGAAGCCACTAAGGCTTATTTTTGAGCAGACAAATATGGGATTGCTCTAATAAACCTACTGAAAAGTAGCATAAACACCTACCACTTTCCAGCATGCATGAGTTCAAATGCCTCATTGATTTTCTCGAAAGGTAGAGTGTGTGTCACAAATTCATCCACTTTTATCTTTTTGGACATGTATTCATCTACCAGCTTTGGTACACTTTCCACACTTTTCCACCCTGGTAGGAAGCAAAACTGTCATTCAGCAAAGTGAAATAATGGTGCTTTACAGCAGCATCTGGCAAAATTGCACTCAATCCTACATATCAAAAACCCCAGAGAAAATTAAGTCTGAAAGAAAACTAAGCTGGACCCTTCTTTGGAAATGCTCTTCCCTTTATCCTGATGCGCCTGACAAGTTGGGCTATGTTCTTTGGAGGCTTATGCCACAACTGGGTTAGCTTTTTAAGCTGATGGAATCATTTGTTTGAAACCACTGTCACTTCCCACAAATGTGCAAAAACAGAATTCCTTCCAATGTGTCCATTTAAGACACTGCTATGCATATCCAAGCAAAATTATACCTCCAAAGGCAGTCCCTTTCCAAGTTCGTCCAGTGACCAGCTGGAATGGACGGGTGGCAATTTCCTGGCCAGCAGCAGCAACCCCAACTATCACACTCACACCCCAGCCCTTGTGACAGGCTTCCAAGGCTGCTCTCTATGATTAAAAGAAAAGAGATTAAGAGAAAGAGGAGCAAGCAAAAGAAATGGGAGGGGGCACAGCTCAGTGGCAGAGCATGCATTACTAGCCTTTCTCAAGCCGGTACCCTTCAGATATTTTATATGACAACTCCCAGCATTCTTGACTATTGTCCATGCAGGCCGGGGCTGCTGAGAATTGGCATCCAAACCATCTGGAGAGAAGCACCAGTTTGAGCAAGAGTGGTGTACATGCAAGTAGGTTCCAAGCTGAATATCTGATACTTGCATTTCGAAAGGCCAGTAGCAAGTGGTGGTCAAGCCAGACAGACCAACGGTCTTCCTATGTCATGCCAATGAACAATGTTTGGATGACTGATGCTCTGTAGGCCAAACAAGTAAGTTAATGTGTGACAGATTATTCACTGCAACTGTTTAGAAACACAATCTCATAAGATAGCTACAAAAGTTTTGTTTTTTGATTTATATCCTGCCTTTTTTTCCTACAAAGGGCTCAAGGCAGCTTACATCTCCTCCTCCATCTTATCCCCACAACAACCCTGTGAGGTAGGTTGGGCCGAGAGTTTTGTGACTGGCCCAAAGTCACCCAGTTGGCTCCATGGCTGAGCCGGGACTAGAACCCAGATCTCCTGGGTCCCAGCCCTATGCTCTTAACCACTACACCACACTGGACAGCAACACGCAGAGGTTGTGGGTGCTGCACTAGAGATGGTTATCCCATGCATGAACAGCCCAGGAACGCTCAAGACAATGTTGGAATGGATGCATTTTGGTCTGATTGAACAAAGCAGACAATTGCTATGCAATTCTGATTGTTTAGACCACTGATGATTATCAGTGATCATACATCATTTCAGATTATGTCATTACTCTCTTCCACCCAACCCTCTGAAACCCTCCAGAAATGGATCTCTGGAGAGGTGCACCTGGTGCTGAGTTTATATTCTTTTCGGTGCCAGGTCAAAACCGTTTTATTTGAGTGGTATTTTAAAAATCAGTATTTTAATCGTTTTGAACAGTCGCTTTGATTTTGTCTTTTATGTAAATTTTTATTGAATGATGTTATTTATATAAGTGATTTTATTGTATCTCAATTTTATGGATTGTGAGCTGTTCTGAGATGCCAAGGCATAATGAATGGCATGCAGAAGTTTTACATAAATAAAAAATAAATAAATAAGTGCATGTATGACCAATTACTTCCCGTGAAAGGCTCATCTTCTGGATAGCCTCCACATGGTTCATTTCCCGTGGCAGCCCCTTCTGACGTTTGCTAGGCCTTATCAGTTGCCTTATCAGTTGCTAGGCCTTACCATCCATGGTATAAGGAAACATGTTGGAAGTATCAAAGGCTACTCCATCTCCCCCTTGCAAGTAATTTTTGCTAAGAGTCAGTGAGAAGTAAATTTCATCAATGGATGAAATTCAACCTCTAATTTCATCCATTTCTATCTCATACAAAAAATTCCATAAAACAGACTCATAGGCTGTGCTCAACCTGCATACCGAATATGCTTACCATGACACCAACATTACCGATGCATTCAAATGAGTAATCTACTCCCCCATCTGTCAATTCAGCCAGGGCCTCCTGAATAGGTTTCTTGAAGTCCTCAGGGCTGATGCATTCTGTAGCCCCAAATTCTTTTGCTTTTGCAAATTTGCCTTTGTTGAGGTCAATCCCTATGATTCGGGATGCCCCTGCCACCTTGCAGCCCATGATTGCTGCTAGTCCAACTCCACCTAAGCCAAAGATGGCACAAGTAGAGCCAGGTTCCACCTAAAAGAGAAGACAGTAATTCAATTAAGCTGGATTAGAAAAGCCCTTGGTCTGAACCACACAGAGTTCTTAAGTTCCTTACCTAGATCCCTGTTCCAGTAGTTACACTTGGGGCTAAAACACCCTGGAGAGGAATTTCAATCAATAAGAAATCGGATATCCTACCTTGGCTGTGTTCAAGGCAGCTCCATAGCCAGTAGAAATTCCACAACCCAGCAGGCAGACTTTGTCCAAGGGAGCTGAAGCATTTATTTTAGCCAAAGAAATATCTGCCACAACTGTGTATTCTGAGAAGGTGCTCGTTCCCATAAAGTGAAGAACTTGCTTTCCTCTGCATGTGAATCTACTGGTCCCATCAGGCATCACCCCTTTCCCTTGGGTGACTCTTCAGAACCAAACAAAAACAATCATGCAAGTTAGGTATTATGTGATGTTATACAAAGCTCTACAAGATTTGTGTGCCCTTTTGGGATGCTTCCAGACAATGGCTCCCAATCAAAAGACAGTCATAGATACTTCCATCTTTCCTTCCTTAGAGGACTTTTTTTCTAGTAGGAAAAAAAAATGGAAGAAACCGTGATAAAACAAGGATAGTTACAAACAAAACACAGACTGGACCCGTAAATGAGGCAGAGTGGATGCACCATAAAAGTTGACTAGAAGCACCCCAGGATACATGGAAGAAGTGCATGGGCACTAAATGTGTCAGAAAGGGGAAAGAAAATAACATTTAAAACATTGAATGTCATGAAGCCTACAAGGTACCACAGTGCGCAGCAGACAAATTCCGTTTGTCTCATGGAATTGGTATAAGCTGCACACATAGTCCTTTCCAGAAGAACATGAGTAGTTAACTTAGATTTATGTTGAACTCTGCAGGTGAGGAGCAGCAATTTTGAAAGCTGCATTGCAAAATACACACCACACAAAAAAAATGCCATAAAACACCATCTAACCACTTTTTCTAAAATAATCCATACCCACCTAGCATTCTGTATGCACATAAAGCAAGCCATGAATTTAAAAGACTTCAGACAGGTCACAATGGGCTGGTTCACACCCAGCACTAAACACAATATCGCAAGATGTGCCTGACTTGCAAGCAAGAGCAAATCTTTCCATGTTCCACATGGCTGGAAGGAAGAATTTATCTTGCTTGTTTCACTTTCCCTGATTCCCTGCTTGCCACTACATACAAACCATGTATGAATCATGGTTTAAATTAAACTATAATGGTGAAATCCTGTATTTATTTAGACAAGGAAAAGGGCCTACAACTCACAGCTGGGAATTGTAGAGCTTTTTCTGTCTAAACATGCAAGGGATTGCACCCTAAATTTGTTAAAATAAGCTAGATTTCTAACCCACAATTTGAAGCTGGCTTGAAGTTGGAAGAGACCGCAGTCTTTTCCAAGCGTGCCAGACGGTGGTACTTCTTAGCCTCAGCCCACACAGAGCATGTAGTCCAGCACGAGGTGAACGCCACTAAGAGATTAGCTGGTGCTGCTGGCCATTTGATTACTCCATTTGAACCACTGTGTGATGGAGAACCCTTGCCTTTTTGAGTAAGTGAGAACAACAACACCCCCCCCCCCCCCCCCCCAAGAAAATAGCACCCACCTTATTTTCTGGCAGAGATTTGTTTTAGGGTTTAAACAAAACTTGCATTCACCACACTGAGGAATATACAGAGGGATAACTGTGTCTCCTGGAAAACACAAAGAGGTTTGCTTTATTTTACCAATGAATGAATCAGAAGCACAGTGTGTTAAACCAGATGCTACGTAAGTGAGATAATGCCTAGTGCAGCGATGGCCATTCTATGTGCACAACCAGCTGGGGTGTGTTGGGAGTTGTAGGGCCTTTTTCTGGCTAAACATGCATAGCATCGCACCTCAAATATGTGATTTGTCAAGCAGAAATCATCTATTCAGTCTGACCCCTGAGATGACATCAATAGGTAGTATTAGGACCCTTACTACTTTCATAGGTCATCTCTCTTTCCATTCACAAGACAGGATAAGAAAATGGCCTACCTTATAGGTTTCCATCAAGGATTAGTCTGCTATCAAAACACGCCGTTTTGCCAGCTTGTAATACTACATGAAGCCTCCAAAAACACATCTGAAAGTATCCTTCCTTCTCTTTCCAGGTAATCTTAAAGCATTCATGGAGAACGGCTACAGCATACAATCCCTCTGAGATCCACCCAGTGCCTTCTGAGATATTGTCAGAAAATGCCAACCATAAAAGAATAGTCACTCAGGCTAGTTCAGACAACATGCTAACCCACGCTCAAGGGTTCAGAGTGGATTGTCACTGAACTATGGCTGGCTGTTGAAATGTGGGTTATGGAATTACCTAAATGTAGCTACACTAGTAAGCTTTGGCTTGTTAACCACAAACAACCATGACATGAACACATGGCTTGGTTTTGGGTTCCAAACAATGGGTTGCTCACCATAATTTATCTTTGCTGTAGGCTACTAGGTTAAGACAACATGACAAGCCATGGATCAATGACAACCTACACTCAACTTTTGAGTATGGGCTAACATGTTGTCTGAACGCAGACTCAGAGAAGAGGGGGAAAGACTAACTCTACAGAGAGTTAAGTGGCAGGAGGGGAGGCTTCAACTGCCCATTGGGGAAATGACTTAATTTTAAGAGCAGTTCAGTAACAGAAGCAAGTATCCAGAGTGAAAAGAAATCTCCAAACAGGGACTGGGCAGAGACTGGGGATGTTCCCTAGTTATTTCCTTCATCTAGCAGGGGTTGAAGTACAGGGCCTACAAGACCCCCTTGAACTCTAGAAGTCAGGGTATACATACCCAAGCAATAATCACAGAAATGTGATCTCCCACAAAGACTAAATGGGACTTTACCTGGGAAACAGCACCCCACCACATTTTCCATTACAGTATAGGATTTACTCCTGTGGACATAGAAACAGACTCAAATATCCAACAAAGGAATGTGGTGTCAGGCTGCAACCTGTGACAGACCTGCAGAAGTACCACGACAGCTCAGCACACATTCCTTAATTTTTCCAACAAAGCAATACGGTAAATGTTTAACACGAGTTAAGAAAGAGCCTTTTGGTACCTTAAAGATGTCACATTCTCAAGACATGTTATAACAAACCAATATAGCTTTCCTCTGAATTTTTTTAGGAAGAGATGAAATGCCTTACCTGGTTTAAATTTAGTCACTCCTTCCCCAACACTCTCCACAATTCCTGCTCCCTCATGACCCAGGATGACAGGAAAACTCCCTTCAGGATCAGCACCACTCAATGTATAAGCATCAGTGTGACACACTGCAGTGGCAATAATCTAGTTACAGAGAACAATATGAATTATCCTAGAGCAGTGATGGAGACCCTAGAGCAGGGATGCACAAGTGCCCAAAACGCAACCCCAAACCCACTTATTTATCACAAGGTGCAACACTAAAATGAAAACCAAAAACTGAAGTTTTAGTTTAGAAAAAAACACCTCGGAGCCAATCCGAGGAAATATAAATATAATCTTGGCAATGCACTGCCTGGCCATGGGAAAGCTCAGATGAGTCACGGCTAATGAATCGTGGCTCGTGATGTCATCGCCTAGCATGGGTACTCCTTAACAAATAAGTGCGTGGCCACTATGTGCTCTGTTATCCGATGCTCCGCTGATGGGGTGATACTGGAGCGACACGCATTCCATGCCGAAGGAGAGGGCTCTGCGTGCCCACAGTGGCATGTGTGCCATAGGTTTGCCAAAACGGGCCTAGCCCTACCTGGTGCACATCCCTAACCGTAATATAGGGGTAAAATACAATTGAAAATGATGCAATGTTGAAAAAGCCTTCCTTGAGTAGCCTTTCCTGCACGATTCAAAATTTCTGCCCATTCTAAACACATTCCAACCATCAAAACTGTACCAGGTCACCACATTTTTGGAACCTGAACCCTACCCTGGTGCGCACCCCTAACCCTAACATAGGGGTAAAGTTCCACTGAAAAGAAGGCCATTTTTAAAAAGACTTCCTTGAATAGTTTTTTCTGCACAGCTCATCAATTTTGCACATTCTAAACACATTCCAACCATCAGAATCATGCCAGGACACCTTGTTGTTCTAATCCGAATCCTATCAAGGTGCACAACCCTAATATAGGGTTAGAATACCACTGAAAATGATGCAATGTTGAAAAAACCTTTCTTGAGTAGCCTGCATAGCTCATCATTTCTGCCCTTTCTAAACACATTCCAACCATCAGAATGCCAGAACAACTTGTTCGTCTAACCCTAACCCTACCCTGGTGCACACCAGCACACCTAATAAGGGTGTAAAGTTCCATTGAAAAGAGGGCCATTTTGAAAAAGCATTTCTTGAGTAGCTTTTTCTGCAGAGCTCATCATTTTTGCACATTCTAAACACATTCCAACCATCAGATTCATGCCAGAGCACCTTGTTGTTCTAAACCTAACCCTGCTCTGGTCCACACCCCTAACCCTAATATAGGGTTAGAATGCAACTGAAAATGATGCAATGCTGAAAAGGCCTTTCTTGAGTAGCCTTTCCTGCACAGCTCATCATTTCTGCCCATTTTAAACACATTCCAAGCATCAAAATCATGCCAGAACAACTTGTTCGTCCAACCCTAACCCTACCTTGGTGCACACCCCAACCCTAATACAGAGGTAAAGTTCCATTGAAAAGAGGGCCATTTTGAAAAAGCCTTCCTTGAGTAGCATTTTCTGCACAGCTCATTATTTCTGCCCGTTCTAAACACATTCAAACCATCAGAATCAACCCTAAGCGTTGGTGACTTCCTGACTTGACTTTTGTAACGCGCTCTACGTGGGGCTACCCTTGAAGACAGTCCGGATACTTCAACTGGTTCAGAATAGAGCTGCCACGCTGTTGACGGGGACTGGGCGTTATGCTCACATGACTCCAGTCCTCCGTCAGCTTCACTGGCTTCCCACTGAAGTCCGGGCCCAATTCAAGGTGTTGGTGATCACTTATAAAGCCCTAAACGGCATGGGTCCTGGCTACCTGAAGGAGCGCTTACATCCATATATGCCCACCCGCCCCCTGAGATCAGTGGGAGAGGCCCTTCTCCGGGAACCTTCCGTGAAGGAAATTAGGAGGATAGGTACTCGGAGGAGGGCTTTCTATGCGGTGGTGCCCAATCTATGGAATATGCTCCCCAGAGAGGTCCGCCTGGCCCTGTCGTTATTTGTTTTTCAGCGCCAGGCGAAGACCTTTTTATTCAAACGTCATTTTAATTGTTAATGTTATTTTTATTTTACATGTATTTTATATTGTTATTTATGTATTTTAATTTATTTATTTGTAAGCCGCCCCGAGGCTTTGGCGAATGGGGCAGCCTAGAAATTTTCTAAATAAATAAATAACCTGGTGCACACCCCTAACCCTAATACAGAGGTAAAGTTCCATTGAAAAGAGGGCCATTTTTAAAAAGACTTCCTTGAGTAGCATTTTGCGCACAGCTCATTATTTCTGCCCGTTCTAAACACATTCCAACCGTCAGGATCATGCCAGAGCACCTTGTTGTTCTAACCATAACCCTATCCTGGTGCATACCCCTAACCCTAATATAGAGTTAGAATGTAACTGAAAATGATGCAATGTTGAAAAAGCCTTCCTTGAGTAGCCTTTCCTGCACAGCTCATCATTTCTGCCCTTTCTAAACACATTCCAACCTTCAGAATCATGTTGGACCAACTTGTTCGTCTAACCCTGACCCTACACTGGTGCACACCCCTAACCCTAATACAGGAATAAAGTTCCATTGAAAAGGGGGCCATTTTGAAAAAGCCTTCCTTTAGTAGCCTTTTCTGCATAGCTCATCATTTCTCCTCATTCTAAACACATTCCAACCATCAAAATCATTACAGGACACCTTGTTTTTCTAACCCTAACCCAGTGATGGTGGACCTTTCAGAGACCGAGTGCCCAAACTGCAACCCCAAACCACATATTTATTGCAAAGTGCCAACATCGCAGTAAAACCTGAGAACTGAGGTTTTAGTTTAGAAAAAACAACTCACAGCCAGTCCAAGCATATCCGTGGCAATGCACTGACTGGTCATGCGAAAGCTTGGATGAGTCGCGGCTCAGTCGCGGCTTGTGACGTCATCCCCTGGTGTCACTACTTCTTTCCGAGCATGCGCATGGCCCCATTGTGCACTGTTACCTGATGCTTGGCCGCTGGAATGATGATGGGGAATTGGCTTGCGTGCCGATAGTTAGGGCTCTGCGTGCCCAGTGTGGCACGCATGCCATTGGTTTGCCATCACTGTCCTAGAGGTAATTCAAAGGGCTCAACATGCGCAGGACTTGGAGCTGGTTGACTTCTCAGTTGACACTTGTCACTACAAAGCCCCAATTTCTCCTTAGCCATAAATTCACTATGCAGCCTTAAGTAAACTGCTATCCTTTAAAGCACAGGTGTTTTTTTGGAGATTGAAAATAGGTCTCCAGATATTTTGGATTTCAACTCTTAGCAGTCCTGCCATTTGCCCATGCTGGCAGGGGCTTCTGGGAGCTGCGGACCAAAAACAGCTGGAGATGTACCATCTGCTGATTCCATGCAAGACAGATGCTGAGATGTAGTAGTAACAGCACTGGAGCAGAACTTAGGAAGTCCTGGGTTCGAATCTCCATTCAGTCATGAAGCTCACTGTGCACCCTTGTACCAGACATCTCTCAGCCTAACTTTCTCATAGCATTGTTGTAAGAATATAGTAAAGTAAAGGGGAGAACCTTGTATATCAACCCTGAGTAACTCAGAAAAATGAGGGAAATAAATTCATCAATAAATCTTTTGGCCCCATTCTATGTCTCATATAACAACAGACACAAGACATCCTTTACACTTAAAGTTTACAGATACTGAAATAACATATGAAGAATGGTGAACACCAGTTATGATTAATACCATACTGAACTTTTAAACTGATTAGCTAAAAGCAAACACTATGGCATATAAACTACACATAAACATATTTCCCAAATTTAACTGTTTCTAGCTTTGACATCCAACATGTACAACTACAATTAAATCCACCCCCATGCACTTGATTCAATTAGAAGAAAAAACCTTACAAACATTTTATATGAAAACATGTTCCTTATCTCTCAAAGGACTTTTAAAGCTACAGGCTAGCAGCTAAGCAATCTAACTATTGTTTAGTTACCTTGATACGGACTTCATGAGCTTTTGGTGGTGCAACTTCCACTTCTTCGATGGACAATGGTTTTCCTGCCTCCCAGGCAACGGCTGCCCTACATTTGATAACCTAAATAAGAAAGGAAGGGTACCAAGCTTATGTAAGGAACATTTTGTTCATGGAGCCAAGAACTAATTCTTGGACACAATCCCAAGTCACAAAGTAAGGACTGAAGCCTGTTCACTCAGAACTGCTACCTGCCATAGAAACTTTGGAAAAGACCTGCCAGAACTTAAAATGGACTTTCACTGGTTAGTGGAGACCACATAACCCTGCAAGCAACCTGATCAGCAAAGGAAAAATAGGTACACTAAAGTAAGGTACCAGGCTACACTACAGAACACATATTTTTAGACCAGGAACAAATGAAGGTGACAAAAATAATGTAATATGTTTAAGTTACCCTTTAATTTATTTGGTTTCAAACCTGTCTTTGAACATTTAACTCAGCTATTGCTTCGGGTAGGATTGCAAAATGAAGATAATGAGAGCAATGATTATTATTCTTTGGATTGGTCTCCATCACAGAAAATAAGGGACACATATGCAAAGAGCTGCTTTGTCCTGGGAGAACATCCAAAGAACTACATCAAGTGAAGGTGCAATTCTACAGCATCCCAACATTGACTGGAGTGGGGTGGGGATTCAGAGGTCCAGAGCTCCAGGAACCTGTGAAAGAACCAATGCCAGCTCTCTTCTGCACCTTGAAAGGGCCAATAATTTACACCAGTTCTATCTCAACTGCCATACATGGCCATCTAGATTAGTGGTTTTCAACCAGCAGGAAATGTCTCACAGAACCGGTGGTTGAAAACCACTGATATGGATGAAAACTGAAGCATGAAGGTCATGCCCACACCTTGTTTGGGGCATAGGATGCTCACAGCCCTCTGAGTTTGAAGCAATGGCTTATGTGCAACAATAAAATACAACAGATAAACAATTCACAAGAATAAAATAATACATTTCAGAAATGTAATGTAGTGATGATGACGATATGAACCATTCCTTTTTGGCAACTACTTATTGGACATGCATGATAAGACAAATGAATACAAGCAAAGGGTTATGTGTATTCTTACTATCTTTCTTAGATACACTAAAATCTAAAGCTAAAGCTAAAATAGAATTAATAGTATCTCATTAGGTTGTTAGAATCCTCCATGCAAAATCTTGGAAGAGAAACAAAGCTCCTATCACTGAAAAACTAGGTCCTGATGGACCAATTGCTTAAAGGAATGTGAGAAAAAATGGAGGGAACAGACTCACTTGTTCTTTAGGGGCAACTTTCCGTTTAAAGATCAGAATAAAAGGAGAACCTGTACCATGCCCATATCACATGCATCTACGATACTGACACAGCTGTCTTGTGGAAACACTACAGATAGGAGAAAGCTTGAGATAAGAGATGCAGGCTGCTTCTATAATGTAAAAAAGTATATACTTGCAAAACATAAAAACTGTGTATGGAAAGCAGTTGCAGCAAAGGCCAGAACTGGTTCATTTCTCACAAAGCAAATCTGAAAAAGGCCTGACACCCAGTAAATATTTACCTTCCTCCCTTAACATTTACACTGATATCTTTCAAAAGAAATGTGTGTAAAGGGAAGACACAAAGGATGAATTAGTAAATGATTTACACATTATGCATAAAGGCTTCTGCAAATACACTTAAGACGCAGCCTTTGTAGGACATGCTAGTTAGAACCTGGTATATGATGTGGCAATTTCAGCTTTAAGAACAAAGCAAACACTTGTTCTACAACACAGGCTGTCTGAAGAACGTTTTCAAGCCATTTCATCGTCATATCAGATAAGACACACTGATCTGCAAATGTAAGTTATAGAGACCAAAGTGAAGAAACAAAAAATGAAAAGAGGATTGCCTCTGTAATCCTCTGTAATTCTCATTTATACAATACCACTTTTCCATAACACCTAATACTCAAAAGCTCTCAGGGTGGGTCATAACAATGAAAACTGTAAAGTACTGCAGGATAAAATGCAATAGAAAACAGTATAAAACTAAAATAATTCTCCCCAGCATTCTAAAATATAGGTAGGAGATGCTCCTTCGGGTAATCTGGACCCAAGATGGTAAGAGCTTTTCAGGTTAATAGCAGAACTTTGAAGTAATCATCCTGGCTCTCAAGAATGCTTCATTAATGAAATGAAGCTCTTCATTACATATTGCAAGTACAGATGACCTGCTGAGCCTTAGCAGCACAGACTGCACTATGGCTTGACTATTTAGCAAGCACCCTGTTGCTGTTTGTGTCAACTGGGCCTGAATGTCTGTTCTGCAAGTATCACAAAAAGTCTACCAACAGCAGTCAAATTTTGACAGACAAATGGAGACTGGGAAAAGTGCTAATTTCTCCTCTTGCACCTCTTTTGCACTCATCCTGTACTGCAAGTGCATATATTCGTAAACTGGTAATTTTGCAAATGTTTACCTCCATTGTGAAAGGTCAGTAGCCTGGGGATCTTAAAAGATACTGAATTCATTATTGCATGCTTTGTGTACTTAAGAGACTGAAAGCACAAGACTGAAAGTGGTGGCAAGGCAGGAGAGCTTTTTCTTGTTCTCAAATCTGTGTAAACTTGCTTTTTGCTGTTTGTGGACTGAGGCAGTTAGTTACACATTGAGAATATCAGGTTCCCTCTTGCACAGGCACAAAAAGTTGGCAGGTACTCTTTAGTGCCAGGATTAAACCCAAACATGTGGGTTGAGGAGAGAAAGCCCAGTAAGTGGTTAGATGCATAGGATCAAAATGTTTAAAATGTAGCAAAGGATAGTCCCAAGAAGTCTGGTGAGTTGCTGCTTTTCTCTGTTCTCACAGTACGTTGATTCCTGGGCCTTTTCTCCTTCACACTCTTTTCTCGAAAGAGACCTGGAGCAAAGCACTACAAAGACTACCCGAATGCAAACTCAACTGCAATGAAAGCAGGGAAGCCAACCGCAAACAGCCTTCTCGAACCTGATGCCTTCAGCACGTGTGGAACTACAAACCCCATGTAATCTCCGGCTATTATGGGAGATGATTGTTTTTATGAGAACGTTTGGAGTGCATCAGGCCGAGGAAGGCTGCTCTGGCCTACCAGAAAAAGGGGAGGGGAGAACACTGCTTAAAGACCACACGAGTTCTTACTCTTGGAAACAAGCAACGGGGTGCACTGACTAAAACAGTGTGGGGTCAGCTCTGGGACGTGCTTCGACTAAACGGCAGGACTCAAGTCTCCCGGAAGCCGCGTAGAAAACGAGAATGCCTCTGAGAAAGAGCAGAGCACAGATTCAAGAGCACCCTTAGGCCCCGCTTCGAAGAGCAGCAAGGTTTTCAGGCCTGTGACGCTGCCCTGCCCCACGCAGCACTTCGGGAGTGCAACTTAAGCCCTCGGTTTACGCGCACAGATTTGAGGACAAGCCCCACTGAACGCAGGGGAGGCTTGCTTCCGAGTAAACATGCACAGGAGCGGTCAGCCTGGGAAAACGCAAATGCAAGTGCCTTCCCGCTCTCCGTAGCGTCCGCGAGCAAGACTTTCCTTTGTCTCGCTTGCCAGGTGGCCTCCTGGCCAGCTGCAGGCGCCCGTCGCGCCCCCTCGCCGGGGAGCGCAGCGCGTACTCACCCCGCTGCTCGCCATTGGCCACGCTGCTCCTTCGGCTCGCAAGACGCCCCGCGAGTTGTGCGGAGTCGAGGAGCTGCTGAACTGCGCCGGGGCATGCGCGCCTTCGGGAGCCGCCTACTTAATAGGCCGGCCGAAGCAGCGACGCCTCCTGCGCTGGGTCGCCTTGCCTGTCGACTGCTGCTGTGGTCTTTGGAAGCCAAGCCTGCGGGAAGGAATTCCCGTTGAGTTTGGCTGGGCTTACGCTGCCTCATAAACGATTGCAATCCTGCCGTAAAATCTGGACTGCTAGGAAGAGGGGTCGATGTTCTCACCAAGCACGCTTACCGAGGAAGAAGCCCTGCTGCAACGAACGGGGCTTTGCAGGGCTGGCCCAAGTCATTTTGTTTCCTCGGGCAAGGGCAAGATGTCCGCCCTTTACAGTGCCATGTGCGCACGCTGTAAAGACTAGAAATGTAGCCTTGCTTGAGTGCTGTCAGGGACCTGCTCAAGGCATTGTGATGCTTGGGGAGAATAAGAAACCATTCCCTCCCAGTTCACGTGCAAAAAGCGACCACACGGACAGTTGAATCTTCCCTCAGCGCCTAAAGGCAGCAAGCCAGCTTAAGCGGGATGCCGCTTGCCAGTATCTGCTGCCTGATGCAGGGGAGGCCTGGGGGCTTGCTTCTGAGAGTAAACATAGGAGCTAAGGCTTAGGCTGCACCCCTGGCTTCCTGCCAGTAAGACTCATTTAACTGAGGGTTATCTTAAAGGTCAAAGGTAAGCATGAGCAATAACCTGCAGTGAGCTCATACCCTGGTGTGGGGGCACTAACAGGTCCCCTCTTTGCAGTTGTAACCTGCTTGGCCCCTGCCTTTCAGACACAGGCATCAGTGGTGAGGAGCAAGGGATGCCACGACTTACCTTGCTCTTGGTCTCCTCCAGAGGAAACAATCATGAAGAAAAGGATGAGGAGTCAAAGGAGCTGGTGCTGATGGTGGTGAGAAAGGGTGGGGGGTGGGGCATGGGGGTGCCTGCACCTGGAGCCAGAGCTGTTCTGAATAGGATTGTTAAATTAAGGGAAAAGACACAGTAAATCATTTGCTGTTGCTGTTTTGTTTTTAACGAAGTTGTTGCAAGTGCTGACTGGAAACTTTGTATGACTGCAAACCATACATACTTTCCTTCCCCAGCCCCATCTGTTCTCACCATCAGATGTGGGGTGAAATTTGCAATGTCCAGCTGCGGAGGGTGTGGAAACAGCAGCAGCAATGACAGGTTGATGAGTATGGTGTATAAAATATAAAATTATATAAAATGTGTTGTTTGTCGCAAAGTCTTGCCGACTCAATATCCATTATATTTGCTCGGTTTTTGTTCATTCCTATTTAGAACATGGTATTTTAGCCTTCCTACCCTTAGAAAAAGTTGGGGAACACACATGCACCTAACCAATCCTTTAGAACAGGGCTGCTGCTGCTGTTACATGCCGTCAAGTGATCTGCAACCTAAGGAGCCCTATGAATGTATGACCTCCACAGTGTCCTGCCCTTGACAGACATGCTCATCTCATGTAAACTCCTTTGTGGAATCAAACCATCTCATATTTGGTCTTCCTTTTGTTCTTCTACCTTCAACTGCACCAAGTATTATTGTCTTCTCTGGTGAGACTTCTCATGAGATTCCCAAAGTACAACAGTCTCAGTTTTGTAATTTTTGCTTCTTCCAGTTTTGTAATTTTTGAAATTGCAAACTTTCAATTTTGCTAGAAATCGAAAGTTTGCAATTTCTAGCTTAATTATTTTTAGAACCCGCTTACTCATCTTTTTGTTGGCCAAGGGTATTTGTAAAGCTTTCCTCTACTACCATGTTTCAAACACTAGGTGGCACTGTAATATTTCAGATAAGTTGTATTTTTATCACATTAGTGCTGTGGCTTTTAAACCTGGCAGGGGACTCCATGACAAGCTGTCCAGTGAGTCCCCATGGCTCATTCACTCACATTACATGCAAGTGAGCTGTTATGTGGCCTTCTTGTCATCCATTGGTAACTTTCACTTGTAGTTTATGCAGAGAATTCTGGCATAAGCCAGTGCCAGAATGTTTGTTATCCGCAACAGTTGCAATGTAAATGGCCACTATTAATAATGTGATAGTATTTCTGCAAATATTTTTTCTTATCTCTGATATATCTGATGAAAGCTTAAGCCAGAATAAATCTCTTAGTCTTCAGTGTGTCAAAAGAGCCTTCATTGTTTTTGCTGTAATTGACTAACATGGCTGCCATCTGGAAACTGCTTTTAAATATTAAAGCAATTTTTTCTGTATATGCTCATCACATCATTTATTTCTCAAAAATGGAACATTTTTTTCTATGGAACATCTCACAGATGTTTTGATTCCAAAAACCTTCTGAGCCAGGGGAACAGTTCAATAAAATAAATCAGCAGATCTCCACCCTGACCCATGAGGTTACTCAAGAACATTTTCTCAAATTTTGGTAAGAACGATTGGACACATTGTTTCAAAATGTTGATTTGTTCTCATTTCCTTTGTGTATTATAATACACAAAGGAAATGAGAACAAATCAACATTTTCTATGAAACAATGTGTCCTGCCAAAAAAGATGCAAAAGACATGACTGAATGAAGCATAAGGACTAAGGCATATCCGAAGTATATAGCTTGACAGCAATTAAGAGTGCTTTGTACTATGCTAGGTGGACCACCATACATTTTGAAAACAGTTGCAAAGGTGCTGCAAAATTCATAGGAAGACGTGGGTTCTTGATATTAGGGTTATGTGAGCAATCCATTTTGCGGTTGGGAATTGTTGGGAAAATTTGGATAAATCCTGTCTGAAAAGCATTACTTCTGTGTGCCTTTACCTTGAGGGATCAAATCCTGTGCTCCTTCTCAAAACCAAGCTGTCACTGTTTAAAATGGCATCCTGCCCCTGCTCCTTTCTCTCACCTTTAGCTGTGGGCTACAGTAGACAGGCCATTTAGTTCAAATTTACGTTGTATACCTTCACAATGATTAAATAGCCATTGTTGGAATTCAGTTTACAAGGAAGTATCTTTTGATAGCCCAGAGGCTCCATGTGCCCTGGCCAATTCAGAATGTCTAGAGTAGATAAGAGTCTTGAATTCATGCACAGTTTCAGTAGCTTGAATTTACATGTCTAAGCAGACCTGGAGATGGGTTCAAGCTACTGAACTAAAGTGTAAATACTGGCAATTAGAAATATTGTAATCTCATTGTTACAGTGTGATTGACTGACATTTCTTTATCTGTTCTGCATGTGATGACCTCAGAATCTTATTGTAATCTCTGGATTCTGTCATGAATTGCCCTGTACCTGTGTACCTATAAAATACCCTGCAATGGTGTTGAAGCTTTGCAGCAGAGTTCACCTCTGCCTGCCCGGTAATGCATGTATTATCGTGAGTACCGCGGGAACCTTGGGGTAAATACAATAAAGCCTAGATGGTCTGGACGCTTGGTCTTTCCCACGAACCTGAGTTTTATTCCCTCTTCTCAAATTGAGATTCCGGGATTCTGACAATCAATTCCATTCCATGGGCTCAGCTCCCCAGATTCTGGTCTGCTTTGCCACAGCTGTGAGACAGCTCCTGACAAGAGGACTCAGCATTCATGCAGCACTTGCCAAGAATGGAGCCCTGTTCAAGGGATGGTAAAGCAACATTCTCCAGCAGCATCCTTTATTTGTGCTGCTGTACATGACATGGAAGAAGGTTGTTCCTGTGATGTTTGCCAGGTATAAACCATGGCTTGTTAGCTACAAACTATGATGAGAATCTAGGTTGTGAACTGTGGGTTGCTCACCATGGTTCGTTATCTCATCTGGGTTCAAAATAGGTCATTTAGGTGTCAGGGTCCATGGCTGGGATATGGGTGGTCAGAGACAATACAAGAGCAACAGAGTCACCAGGCTCAGGGCAACAGAATTTCAGAAAAGACAGAGCCTAAAAACGGTATAATGGAAAGGCCAAGCCATAGTCATGTCACAGGCCAAGGCCAAGGACCAGAAGAATGTCCAGCTGAGATCACCTGGGGCCAGTGGCTCTGCAAAGGAAGCTGCAACAATTACAGCTCTACTAGCGGAGATCTGTGTCCTGGGAGTAAATTTCCCTGGCCTACGCACCAACTAGAATTCCTTTCTTGCCACTCCACTCACCAGCCCTAGCATCTCCTCCCTCTTCTGCTCCTATTGGTGCTGGTGGCATCTTCTTTCAATTGATACCATCTGCACCCTTTTCAACTATAATTCCTTGATACTCTACCTGTAATCTTTGTTGGGGCATAAACAATATCTATACAGAGTCGTCATCCTTTCTTCTCTGTAGATTATGGCTATGGAGTTCAGGAATGCTAACAAAGGGGTAAAAATTATAAAAACATGTGTAAGTCACATTTAATCAGAACCATGATTGATTTTTAATGGAAAAAATTAAAACTTTTTTTCTCAAAATAGCCCCTTGAAACTCTGCTTTGAATAAATGTTGTTGTCTTCTTCCTAAATAGCAGCCAAGAAAGAAAATGATTGCACAGAATGCTTGGCTCCGAAATGAACTTATGATTAATTTTTTCTTGTGGTGCTCAGTTTAAGCTAAACGATTTAGGCTGTCATCCTCTTCACATTTTCCTGGGAATAGCTTCTATTAAACTCAATGGAATTTACTTTTCACTCAACATGGATAGGATTGTGCTGTTACTTTTGCAACTACGTACACATTTTAGAGGAACAGGCTGGCAAATATGTGTCACTGCCAAAGTGTTCGTGAGTTCATTATGTGCCAAAGTGTTCCTGAGTTCATGCAACTAGTTCCACTACCCCTCCAGAAAGCAAGCTGTTGAATGCACTGAATAGTGTTGGGAAAATGTGGATAAATCCTGTCTGAAAAGCATTACTTCTGTGTGCTTTTTTGCATTGTGGGATCAAATCCTGTGCTCCTACTCAAAACCAAGCTGTCACTGTTTAAATGGCATCCCTCCCCTGCTCCTTTCTCTCACATTTAGCTGTGGGCTACAGTAGACAGGCATTTAGTTCAAATTTACATTGTATACCTTCACAATGATTAAATAGCCATTGTTGGAATTCA